GAGAGAGAGAGAGAGAGAGAGAGAGAGAGAGAGAGAGAGAGAGAGAGGCACACAGGATGAATAGACGTGTGTGTATACGATTATGACCATGTTATTGCCTCTACAACCTACTCACGACATCAAAATTCACCAGCCAACAACGACACACCAAATACAAAATAGTGTGTTGTATATAAATCTCTAGAGTGACTCGATTTGTTTTTTTTCCGCTCACTCTCCTTCGTTTTCAAAATGATTTCACACAAAAAAAAATCGGTTCGTACACAAAGAAATTGTTGTTGAACCGTTTCGAAAAAATCGTCGGTGTTTGGTTTTTTTGTTTTTTTCTTCTCTATATTTTCGTTAATTCCGCCGAACAACCTCAATGTGTATTCAATGATCAAGTATTATTTCTCGTTTACTTGCTTATTATTCAAATTAGAATTATTATTATTGTGATTGCGAACGAGCGAACAAGCGCAGTCGCTGTCTCTGATCTTATGATGAATTGTTTTTTTTTTCCTTCGCTATCCATCACTCTCTTGTTCTCGCTCTTGCTTTCGTGCGCTCAATGGATTTCGTTCAAGTTATAAATAAATGATTTTTTATGGCGCATTTGTTTCTGCGATGTGTTCTCGCACTAGCATCATACACCCTCGAGTTATTTATTCACTTTCCGCCAATCGACCAGGCCCGACTGACAGTACACATTTTAGTCAATACACCTTTCGGTCAATGCGACATTTGTGTCGGTCGAGGCTTTTGTTTCTCCCATACACCTTATGACATTTTATTTGATTGTGATTTTTTTTCGTTCTTTGTTTCGTCTCTCTATCTCGGTGTGTGTAGCAGCATGGATTTGGTGGATTCGATGATCCAGATGGTGATGTTTTCGCTGACATGGGATTGCGATCACGATTGAATCGCATGGGAAATCCGTTTGATTGGAGCGCTCGCAAGCGACGCGGTTCCGGTCAAAATGCAGGCGATGCATATGATCATCATTATTTTGATGACGTTGATTTTCCATTTGGTTCGACCTGGGATGCTTTCGGACGAATGGGAAACAAACGACACCCAGCCGAAACTGCCGATCGCAGTGGTTTCTTCGATTATGTTCCACAGGAGTTTAGACAGTACGTGCCCGAACACTTTGGAACTCATTTCCGCGGTGGTCATGGACACCCACATCAACAACAACAACCACAACAACAAGCGCCGCCACCACAACAGCAACAACAAGCGCCGCCTCAGCAACAGCAAACTTATCAACAAACCGGTTCGAAATCTAATCTCTGTGATGCAGCCATCCAAACTGACGATCTTGGCACTCAGAACAATGGCGATCGAAGAGATGGACCCAATTCCGCTGATCATCATGGTGAGTGTTTTTGATTGTTTTTTTTTTATTGGAAATAATGTCGAAATATACAGAAGAATCAACTGAAAAATGAGAGATTTCACAATTAAAGCACTTCATTCGATGCTTTGCATTCGAAATTTATTCCTTTCAATTCGTTCTTTCTTTGGAAGTGTTTTTTTCTTGACTCAAACTCAACTTTGTATAGGTGCAATTTCGATTTGGCAACAAAAACCTCTGTGTTACAACTTCATACACACACACACACATACACACACACACATTGTTCCTTTTGTGCGAATCCATTCGTTTGGATCGATGACACATTGATACACGCATACAAACCAATCAATCGACTGTGTTCTGGAATGTTCCATTCTGTTGGAATTTTGACATCGCTTCGAAACTGACTGAGGATAATTAATTTTTTTTCATTCCATATTTGTTAATTCGAAGTTTTGGTGAAGAAAAAAAAATTCCGCTCAATTTTTATATGAAAAATGTTTTTTTCTTTTGATAAAATCTAAACGAACGAACGTTACTCTCGCGCTACTGCAACCAATACAGAAGCAAATGTATTGTGTTGTGCATGTCTGTGGTTTCGTTGGCTCGACTCGAATATTTTTCATTCTGCCTCTCCGTATAATTCGCAAGGGAACGAATGAACACGTTTTGTGTTAAATACAATCTGAAACGCATATACTTTTGAGGGCCTCTCAACTGTCGAGTTCGATACTCACGACCGAGGGTAGCGACTATAAGTTCGTACGTGTGCACGCCCGGCAGCTGTATGGCTGTGGTATATGCGCTCTACGTCGTGGGATTCACGTACTTATGTACGGCGTGTAGATAAAAAATTCTTTTTTTATCCGTTTTTTTACAAAATCTATTGAACTCGATTGAATTATTACTGATGAAGTGGTTTTAATTGCAGATAATCGTAATGACAGTAATGTAAATCGAAGCTCAAGTTCCGCATCGAGCTCAAGCAGTTCGACTCCATATGGAAATCAAGTGCATATGTCGACGTCAGCAGATGGCCCGGGCGCTCATGCCAGCGCATCGGCCGGAAATAATCAAAATCAATACTATCAACAAAGTCCAAACTATGCACACCAAGCACCACCATATGGTCGACAATATCAGCAACCATATGCACCGCAATACCAATATTCACAATCGCCACCACCACCACCACCACAACCACATCCATCGCAAGAAGGTTTTGTGCGAAATGTACCAATTGTACTCGAAGAAACCGGTACACCGGTAAATAAAGTGCGCGCCGAAACTAGTGCAGCACCTGCAACCCCACCCACGTCTCAAACAGGTTCGAACAAAGCACGACCAGAACCATTGAACAAAGAGTCATTCGCATCGAACGAGCCAATACCAATGCCGTGTCCTCCTCAGCCTGGTTCTCAGAATCAACAACAGCCACAACAGCATTCCGGTGAGTATTTATTCGACAGCGATTCACACTGTTCAATCTCTTAAATTGAAAAAAGATGAGAATATTTCAAGTCATCTTGAACTAAAACTTCGCTGTTCTTTCATTGCAGACAACCAAGATGATGCTGATTCAGCACCTCCGCAAACTCCTCATACCGCTGACTGTATATCGAAAATTCAGGCCATTCAACGTGATGTGTTGGAATTGATGTTGGCCGTTGAGCAGTTTGGTGGAAAACGCGGCGACAAAGATTATGCGTATTTAGATGAAATGCTTACGCGAAACTTGCTGAAATTAGACACAATCGATACAAATGGCAAAGAGAGCATACGGCTGGCACGAAAGGAAGCCATCAAATGTATTCAAACATCGATCGCGGTGTTGGAGGCAAAGTCTGATTTGCATTTGAACGAAAAACGAGATAGCATCGATCAGTTGAATAAAGAGACAGCCGAAAGTGGTAACAATTCCGAGCCAGCTGCAGTGCCGTCCGATGAAAAACCAGCCGAAAAAATGGATGTCGAAGAAACAAATGCTGAACAATCGTCGGCATCTACTGAGCAAAATGTTGATGCAAACGCCGATATTCCCAAAGTTGAGAACATTACTATCGATGATAAGCCGACCAATGGCAATGAAAAACCTCCACAAAACGAAGCGGAAAATAAACCGGAGAAAAGTAGTGCCACACCAGAAAATGCCGACGCCAAGAAATAAACACTCAACGACGACGACGATGATAGTGGTGGTGATCATGATTTCAATATAACTGACACTTTATCAAAGAGTCAATAAGCTAAGGAATGTTGTTGAACACTTATTAAATGACAATGAATAATGGATATAAAACTTAATTTTTTTTTTGGATTACAATGAAACAGAAAATAAAAATCTAATTGCGAAAAAAAAAAATTTGAAAATATTTAATAAAAAAAAACCATATTCGAGTTAGAAGAAAATTTGTGTGTTTTTTTTTTCGGTTGTCGCGCCTTTATTATTGTTTTTCTTTTCTTTAAATCGATTGAGTAAAACGGTTTGGATTTTAATCCATTGAATTGAGCAGCTTCTCAATCAATTTCTGTCGTTCTCGTTCACGATTTTCTCGTTCAATGAGCCGTTTCTTAGCCAGCCGCTCATGTACACGCTTCATCTCGAGGATTTCTTTCATCTCTTCTTTGTCACTCTCCTGAAAATGGGACATTGAGTATAGAATGGAATGAGTTATTTTCAAGATGAATTCACTGTTAAAGCGGAATTTGGGAGTTTTTAAAATGTTTCAAAATGAAATCAACTCACAGTCATGTTTAATCGAAGGACCAGAGCTCGTCTGCCATCGGACATCGGTTGACTGTAAAAGTTGAAGTTTTTCAAGCGTTCCATCGGTGATACGCCACGCTCAACGACCAACACGATACGCGCCCATTGTCTTTGCCATTCGTTACGAGTTTCAGCGATTTTCTGGTAAGTGTTACCCATCATAGCAATCAACATGTTCACCAGCAACACCGCCACAATCACCATGAATACAACAAACAGGATTTTCCCTTCCATTTCGTGATTTGTTCGCTCCATCGTACCGAAGTAATCGCCGAAATTCGTAAGCGACATCAGAAACATGGCAACAATCGATTCCATTGGAGATGGTACCGGATTTGATTCGGTGTCATCGACTCCTTCCGGCGTCGTTGGATTATCAAACGACAGGAATATGATGTAGTATGCTTGAGCAAATCCCATCACAAACACCAGGTAAATTGAAACGAATCGAATCAAATCGCCCATCACCATGCGGTAAATCATCACGACGAAAGGACCGACAGTTTTGAAACCTCTATACGAATTTGAGAGAGAGAGAGAGAGACAAAGGCAATTTTTATTGAGACTTTAGTATAGATTTGAATGATTTGAGTTTTTTTTTTTGAGAAATAGTTTAAAATCATTATTTTGTTTATCATTCGAGTCAAATATGAGGCTGTGAGAATGAAAAAGACAATACAGGAATAAACATTCTGAAGCGCATCAAGAAAAAAAAATCGCAAAAGTGAATCATGAGTTCTGAATACGCAAAAGTGAACCATGAACCTCCTATGCTGCCCATGTTAATTCATGTTTCACTTTTGCATATTCAGAACTCATGATTCATTTTTGCGATTTTTTTTCTTGATGCGCTTCAGAATGTTTATTCCTGTATTGCCATTTTCATTCTCACAGCCTCATATATTCCACTTTAAATTTACCTGCAAAAGAATAAAAAATAAGGTGCCGTTGTCAGCATGATCACTACGCACACGTGGTCTTCCAACTCAACCAAGCAAAATATACGCAACGGAACGATGGTCATCATCAAGCAACAGGAAAACAGAAACATTACGCGCGACGGAGCAGTCATCTGCAATTCAATGAAATGAATAAAAGGACAATGAGATTTAACTGTTTGAATCAGTCAAAGACTTGTTAAATTAACGAGAAAAGCAACTTGTTGATTGCATGAAAGCTCTAGTCCCAAAAAAAGTCTCACCAAATTTTCGATAAACATGTGAAGGCCCAAGAACTTCATTTCACGTAATGCCGCCACAATATACAAGAAAGCGCCAATCAATTGGATCATTTCCGTGATCAATCGCAATTTATCCACATCGGAATCAATATTGAGCAACGGACACTCTGCGAATGAAGTCCACCACTTCGAATCCGAGTCATCGGCATCAGTTTTATTATACCAAAAAGGATCACCTAATGGAAAATTTAAATAACCCACCAATTTCGTTCAATTTCTATCGCATTTTTTTGAGTATTTTACAATCATATTCAGAAGAACATAAAGTGGAAAAGGTAAGAAATGTGTATGAAGTATGGATATTACTTGCAAGTCTGAAGTTTTTGCAAAAATTATTTAATTTTGTCAAGTATTCAAGAATATGGGTTGCATTTTCGTAGTAGATACAGTAAACAGTATGCTGAAATGAACAAAAGATCTATTGAGCAAACTGAAAACAAAAAAAAAATTGAATTACAAAAAGAAACAAAAGGTGAAAAAAGCAACATACAAGCGTAAAACACAAACGCAAAACCATTAAATTCATGTGTTCATTGGGGAACATTGTCGTAAGTATTTCAAAGCTATTGGCAAGTACTACTTCGTATCTATAATTTTTCCCTGTGTGTGTATGTTCGCAATTATCGTGCGATCTTGTCGATCATGTGTGTTGTTTTACTGTAATAAGTATTAACTAATAATCTTGTTAAGTTCAATTATCGTTTTTTTGCCTTTTCTTCCCGTAATCTTGCAACATTTTGATAAGTTTGATTGTGCAACCGTCATAAAAAAGCATAATCACTAAATATAAAGCAATGACAGAATATCGAATGTAGTGAATGAGCATTTTGTCCCCTGTGACTAAGTGAAGTTGATTAAGTCATTCCTACGGAATAAGATTTATGATCGACAGAAGTGAAGACAATATGTACAATTGTGATTTACGATAAGTAGTATGGTGTGGTTTCGATAACGGAAAAAAGTTTCAAACTGCTTATTACAACATTTTTCACTCTAGGTGGAAAACAAATTGGCTGCTGCCGCATTGATGCTTGTCGACAACTTACCATTTTCCTTGATAAATGGCATTGAAATGGCTGACGATAGGGCGTTATTCATAAATATCAATGGTGAAACGTTCAAATCTAAATTCGTTGCTTGAGTGTCATTCACCAAATGGCGATTGGTAACATTGAGTATATTCGAAATAAGAACGGTTTGATTGCTATAGTACAGGTGCTGGTGTAACGTCGTTGTTGTTGTCGAATTATTTACAGTGTTGACATTATTGTCGTCATGTTTAACATCGGAATGTCCGTTTGCATCATTATTATGTTCGGTATCATCATCGTTGTCCGTCACGTTTGGACCAGGTCGTAGTAAAAAACTAATGAGCGAAATTAAAAAATACGATGTGAATAGATAAAATTGTCGATAGAATCGTGATTTCACGAATGTATTCCATTTCGTTTTCAGTAAATCGATGAGAATGCCATCGAGCAGTTCAAGATGTTCGTCTTTATCGCCAAAAACGACTAAATTCAGCGCCGAATCTTTGCTAATATGCCCCGTTTCACAGTCAATCGTATCGATTTGTGGCAACGGATATGCCGCACATGTGATGCTACCCAATTGCCAGTAAATTTCCCGCTCAATGTTCATAATGTGAAAGAAAATTTCGACACGGCCCAATTTGGCGGACAATGTTAACGGCGTCAAATTCAATTGATTGCGCACCGAGAGCGATGAACCGACTTCATACGCCATATCGAATGTGTCCAATTTCTCATAAATCACGAGCATGTGCAATACTGTATTCCCATTTGTATCTTGTGCATCGGGACTGAAAAAAAAAATTCACACAAAAATGAGTAATCTTTGTGTATACAATACATTTATCAAATTGTAAACAAAAACGTACACAAATAATGAAAATTGAAACCGATAAATTGGAATTGAATGAACGAACGAGGCACGAAAATAAAAAACTTACTCAGCACCACGAGCCAATACCAAGCGATAACATTCCTCTTGGCCTAAACAAGCGGCAAAGCTCAACGGATATTCACCCCAATACACGTAACCATCGTAATTGGTCATTGGATTCACATCGACCCACTCGTGTTCGATATTATCGGTTCGTGACGCCTTTTGATCTTCGGGTGACATAAACGTTCCACAGCAACGTTCACTCACATTTGCACCAGCATCCAATAAATATTTTACCATGGCTGGATCTTCGTTAACAATCGCAATGTGAAGAGTATTTTCGCCTGTGAAAATCGATTCATACGTATGAAAACGAAAGTATTGAGTTAAAATAAGCACACGGATAAGATGATAATGAAGCCACTTATGACAATATAAAGTCAGTTGGTTTAATGTTTACGAAAATAGATATGAACTCATGTTAACCAGATACAAACGTGAGTGAAAAATAACAAAAAAGCAAACAGGAAAATACACTTGATAAACGAAAAAAAGGAGGAGGAGAAAAAACAGTGCGAATTTACCATAGTATTCGTCCGACATGTAAATGTCATTGATCAATTTTGGGTAAAATTTCAACAGTCTCTTGGCCAATTCGGCATGCAACGACGATGCGTTCAGTAGACACAAGTGAAATATACTTTCACCGACCGCTCCACGCTTTTTCAAGTCCCAGCACACTTCACGATATCCAGACGGATTCATGAGGTACTCGCTCTGTTTTACATTCGGCAAATGCTGATCAATGTCGAACTCTTCGTCTGGATTTTCCATAGCCCGGATTTCGGGCAGTTGCTTGTGTCGCGGACGCTCACAATTTCGCATCATTACGATTTTTGACACCGGTATATATCGGCCAGCTCCTTTATTGTACAAAAATGGCTCGACCTGGAAAAGGGTAAAATGATGGACAGTTGTAAACGATTTGGGTTTTCTATTTTGAGCTTTGGAATAGAAAAAACACGATTTTAACGATTCAGAAAGAAACAAAAACTTGGAAAACTTTTCGATGAACTAATTTTACCTCGAAAAAAAAAAACTCTCGGAAAAATGTTCTTCGAGAACTCTTTGTTAGATAGGTTTTTCTTAGGCTTTTTTTTCCAAAAGAATTTTGATTCACAAAAAAATTGCATGAAATCGAGATTTTGTTTGAATTTCAGACGAGTCAATCTGCCGAATTCAAAACACAATAAAAATAAAAGCCAAAAAAATCGTCATATTCTCGGTAAAAAAGCCACGCCATTTCGCACCATATTAACTCACCTTCGTTTTGATTGCATGATCGATTTCAGCGTATTGTTTGTTTTGGCAAGCACGTTTCATCATGTCAACAAGAAGGCCGCCACCTTTTAGATTGACCAATTTGTAGAGTGGTTGCGTTGAGACGCCAGCCTGTTTCTTGACACCACTAGTAACATTACTCTCCGTATTTCCCATGTCGTCTCACTCACTCTCTCGCTTAATATACACACAATTTTCGCATGAAAATTCGTATGCTCGTACAATTTGATTCGTTCATAACTAGGAAAATGCGCCAAACTACTACTACCCAAACAACTAATGAATTTAACGATTTATCTATTTATCTTTTCGTTTTTTATTCAATTCGAAGATGCGATGAATTTCGATTCAAGCTCTTTATGGATCGTATTATTCCATTACGATATATTTTTTTTTAATTCATTGATTTTTTGGAATTTTCCATTCTAAACGAAAACAAATCGTATAGCTTATTTCAATACAACGATATCGTACATTTCCAGTTTATTAAATCGTTTGGTAAGACCACTGCACAGAATTCGAATGGAAGTCACCATTTTTGCAACGAAAATCCAAAAGAAAAAAACCAAATACAAACACTTATAATTTTGGCAGCCTCTTGGAATTGGACGATTAATTCTGAAATGTATAACACATTCCTTTGTTGTTTCGTTTTTTTTCTTCCCTTTTTTGTTATTTGAGCGGGCTTATATGTGCATCTACATATGTCACGAAATCACGATGTGTATGTCTCTCGACTCAAAAACTTAGTGAATTGATTTGATTTGATTGGTTTTTTTTTCTCTTTTTTCGTGTATTAGTTTGTTTTGTACGCGTTTTTCCTGTTTCTTTCCTTCACTTCGTGTGCGCGATTATTGTGTTGCAATACGTACGCGTGTACAAACGTTTCGAATTGTGTACGTTTTACACTTAACGGCCATTTATTGATCAAACATTAACACAATTTTTGGTTATGGTGTAATGCGTTAGAATTATCGATTCAAGTAAATGCCTGTCTTTTTTGCCCGTGTGATTTTTTTTCCACAACAAACCCGAAAAAACACAACAATATTTTTGGACAGAGTGTTTGTGGTAATTTTTCGAGGTAAGTGACCAGGTCTGTTCAGCGGGATGAGCAGCTTTGGTGATTTCGTATTTTACTGATTTTTCAGTAGTTTTTTTTTTACTGTGATTTTTCGTATTGCTTCGTGTCTTTTTCAACAGCTCATCCAATTCAAGTGCAATTTAGTCGTGTACCTAATCTATGCATACACGCACACTAATTAATTGTCGAAGTTTAATAGCGCAAAATGCCTGTCACACATTTCCAACCCCATCCACCCATTCAAACATTCTGATTGGCTTGCATTAATAACAAAGCAGAGAGAAAGGAAGCTAGTGGAAGGAAAAAAGACTCCACAAAGCTAATGAAAATATTTGGATATTATTTATTTCAATAACTTGCTTAATTCACATGCATTTCTGAATAACATTAATGTATTACATCATTTTGTATTGTTTTTTTTTCGTTTTTCATTTGATATTTTTAAGGATATCGGAAAACAGTGCGCAAAATATCTCTCAAAATGCTATGACAACAAATATTTTTTCTTTTTTTTAAATTAAGTATAAAATACGTGCAAAATCCCTGCGGGATGATGGGGTTGTGGTTATTTCGTTTGTTTAATTGGCATTTGCATCGGGATGTCTTTCCAGGATCATGGCAACACCTTGGCCACCAGCAGCACACGCAGCAATCACTCCCAATTGACCATTTTCGCGAACCAAACGATTTGCCTGAGATGATAATGAAACGGAATTGACATTAAAAATGGGAATTGATGGACTTTTATGTAAATAATAATAAATAAAAAATATAGTATCGACTAAATATTATTGAGAGGGAGAAAACCCGAATGATTTAGTAAAATTGTGAAAATGTCTCAAAATTGGACGCAGAGCATGAGTCACTCACCGTGTGCATGGCCAAACGAACCCCGGTCGCAGCGAATGGATGTCCAATTGAGAGAGAACCACCCCAGTTGTTCCACTTACTCAAATCTGGTTGTCCCAATTTACCATCTAAACCAATGTATTTCTTACAGAACCAATCCGAATCCAATGCTTTCAAATTGGCACACACTTGACCCTGAAATTAAAAGCAAATTTTATTATTCGATTCGAGTGAGATTGATTTAAATAAAATTTTAACTTCAAGTCTTTGATAAATTATAATGATCATTCATAACTCGATAACTAGAATTCAATCCATCAAATAAAATTATTTGCAGAGGTTGGTTGCAGATAAATTTATTTGTATAAATTTCAAATATCAAATAAATTTATCCGTTTTTTTCATGCGTTGTGTTGTTCTAACGCATTTGCCAGCTATTTATTGCTGGAATGAGATTTTCTTTTTGTTCATTTACCGTTATTTGTCAACAATTCTGCACATATGTGCAACCAACCTCTGATTATTTGCTTCTGTTTGAATTTCTTTGAGTTTTAATTGAAAGAATCGAAAAACTCCACGAAGACTCAAAAAAATTCAGAATTTAAATTGAAATTTTACGCGTAATAGAATTACAATTAACAACAGATTTCGGTTTGAAACGAATTGTTTCTTTCATTTTAAAAAGAATTTCAATAAAAAAAGGAAGAAAAAAAGGAATGTTCAACTTACAGCAAAAGCTTCGTGCACTTCCCATGTGTCGATATCGTTGAGTTTGAGACCGGCTTTCTTCAAAATGGTTGGAATGCCATAAGCTGGACCCAACAACAATTCGTCGACTGGATCTTGTGAAACGTATGTGAAGTCACGAATGTATGCTTTTGGTTTGAAACCGAGCTGCTTGGCTTTGGCTTCGGTCATGATCAAGGCTGCGGATGCACCATCGGTCTGAAACAATGCAATGCATGAGATTCATCATTTTGTATGAAGAAATTTAAACATTGAGGAAACAGTATTCCCGAATAAACCCCGTTAATTAGGCAATTTGAAATCGTTTTCTTTTCTTTCATAAATAACTTGCCAAGTATGATGAGTTAGCTGCTGTAACGGTACCGTATGGTTTTACGAAAGCCGGCTTAAGTTTGGCCAGTTGTTCTTTGGACGAAACGCGAATGCCGTTATCTTTGTCAACGGTTTTGTCAACGCCAGACACTTTGAACGGAACCAAATCGGTCAAGTAGCCATTCTGTTGTGCTTGATGGGCGAGTGTGTGTGAACGAAGTGCATAGTCATCTTGCTCTTGTCGTGACACTTTGAAGGCTGCGGCCAAACGATCGGCTGAGTGTCCCATTGTTTCACCTGAAGAGAATTCAGCTACTGCTGGCAACTGCAATTCCAATAGGCAATTAGTAAATGATACATGATAAACAATTTATGATAAAGTGAATCGTTTCTTACTTCGGGTGCAAGGAAACTTGGACGAATTGAGGCCAAGAGCGATAAGCGTTGTACGAGAGTCTTTGCTTTATTGGCCCTCAGCATGAGAGAGCGCATTTTACGGCTGTGTCTGATTGGTACGTCTGACATGAATTCGGCACCACCAGCCACGATGATATCATAGGTTCCAGTGGCAATTAATCCAACACCGGTTGTGATTGCCTGATTCGAACTAATGCATGCCATGGTTACGGTGTGTGCCGGTGTTTTGGTGCTGAAACCAGCCGCTAAAGCCGCTTCACGGCCAATGTTCGACGTTTTCACCTCCTGAATTACCGTTCCGTAAACGATATAGTCAATCAACTCCTTGTCGATCTTTGTCTTTCGCAACAAAGCACTGCAACGAATGTAAAAAGGGAAATTGAATCGAGACAGAAAGCAAAATATTTTGGGGAAATTTGGAATTAATGTTAAAAAATCATCTTTTCCTTGTTCATAATTTTGTTGTTGAGTTAGAGAATTTTTTTTGACAGCGATTTAAAAGACCGAAAAATTAAATGTTGGAACAAATGATTGAAAAATCCAGAAAAAGTAATGGATTAATAATAAGCAAAGAGAGCAACCAATCTAGAACGAATGAAAAATGTGTTGAGAAATACATGAAATTGTCTTACATCAGCGATTCTCTGGCCAGATCATGTGGCATCAATTTAGAATAGTCGGTGAATGATTGAAGGAAAGGTGTGCGCACCCCATCAACCAGAACGATATTTTTGCCAGTTTTGTCTTGAATTGTCCTCTTTTGACATGCTGCACTTGATGTTGATAAACATTGAGCGGCTGTAATCACAATATCAATTTTTGATTAATATAAAGTGAGAATTATTTATATATATATGAACTCCGCATCCGATTGAATAGAAAAATAGCTTAGAAGTAGACGGAAAAAAATGAGAATCAAAATAAAAAAGTGTTTTGACTTTGGATTTGCGTGAGCGAAACGGCATATATACTATATAGCCGAGGAAAAACTTGGATTTTGGACTTTGAACGTCACTTTCATTGCATTGAGCAACCGTCAAACTCGGTCGTCGTCTGTGTATGTATCACAACAACAGAATTTCTCGGTTGTCTCGGACCAAAGGTGAACATTTTCGATTTGGATTCTTTTTTTCTCTCTCTCCCTTTCTCCACATCACTGATTGTGCAAACTCACCATAGCGATTAAGATTTGATGTAAGGGCCGGTGTACGGGCAATTTTCGAAATATTTGATAAATATGCAGCCATTGCGCTAAATTGACCGAAAAAACCGAACTCTCTTTTTTTTTAATAAGCAATTAAAACAACTACGACTGTGAAAATGAAACTGCACTTGACAAAGAAAATGCGACAACTTTTTCGCTTCAAATAATAACTTTGACAATTTCGAAACCAGCTACACACAAAATGGCATAAAAATGAAAAAAAAACAACGAAATGAAGAGAAAACTACTAGTGAAATGATTTGTGTGTTGATTTGATCAGCGCTTTTCGGCTCGACCTGTAAATATTCGATGAGTGTGTTTGCCTGTGTATTTCACTGTGGACAACAGAACACGAATTATTGTAGGCACGATAATATTGCGTTTACGTAGTAGGTGACTGTGTGTATTTGTCTGTGTGTGGTTTATTTTGCGACGTCACACGCGCTCTCTTTTCACATCGATTACTTGGGAGAACCACTACTAATGGCCGATCTGACGTTTCGCATTTGACTTTGACAGCACACAATACACTGAACATGAATTCATGCAATCATTTTTTTTTCTTTTGGTTTTGATGTTTTTTTTTATTTTTTCAGACTATAAATGCATTTCTATACAAGGTTTTTTTTAAACGAATCTTGACATTAACTAAACTGTTAAAATGTGCAATAAGCCGCATTGTTCTCTGCAAATTCAGTTATCTTCATCACGGTCATTCTTTTTGCCAAATGGATCCGACCACACTCGCATATCTGTAAATTGAGAAACATTGGTTTGGATTAGCATCTCCTTTGATTCAATGAATATGGTCTTCAGTTTACTTACTTCCCGGTTGAACCTCTTCTTGGTTGATATTTTTCCGGGTCTCCTTTTGAATATCCTCTGAAATGCAGAAGAGTTTTGATTAGACAATGAACTTTTCAAATCACTTTTTACACTTTTACTAAAGGTATAAACAGTCTTTTTCCAATTTTCTACATTTGCCATTCTTTGATCTTCATTCTCTATTATATTTACGATATTTTCTATGAAAATCTGCTGGTTCAATCGAAACTTACTGTATTTTTTGCTGTTTATCATTGGTTCGAGTGCAATCGGAATTAAACTAATCAAAACAGCTGCTACTCCAAGGTATGGGATATTATAAGATGACCAAAACTTCCTTCTTGGACGAATCGACATTTTATATTCCTAATATCTCTGCTGGTTTTAAGTTTAAATGAGAGTTTTCTTTGAAGAAAATACTTTTTTGAGAAAGGCAACAATTTTTTCACTCCGAATAATTATTTCAGCGAATGTTATGATTGAAAATGTCATAACATTCACACCATATACCCATAGATGGCGCTGGCTTATCGACGGCACTATATGCATAACGATTATATAAAATATGTGATTATTTTTATTTCGCATTTTAATCGTTTTTGATGGGATCATCAGAGAAAAAGTTGCAAACGACACGAGAAAAAGAATAGAGAGAAAAAAATCAAATTAAACCGACAAAAAATAGACAAAAAATTAAAAAAAACACACAATGAATTATGATAATTTTGAATTACCTGTGGATTCATTTTATCATTGTTCATATCTTGAAATTATGAATGCGACGACTTGACTGTTGAGAGCTTGGAAATGTACAAGAACAAAAAAAAAATTATAAAATTTCGCGGCAAAAAGACTCCTGTTTGAAAAGCTTGTTGACATATTCTAGTGAAGAAAGAATCCGCATGGATTTTCAGAAAAATGTATCAACAAAACAAAAAAAATCGACGATTTCAGTCTCGACCTTTTTCCAATCATTATTCACTTTGATGCCTTCTGGTGTGGTAAATTCAGCGTTCAAAATCTTTTGTCTGAACGATGTTATTCCGACATCGAGTGACCGGAATAACGATAGTTGGCTGTTTCCGAAAGGATTAGTCATTTGCCTGAAAAATTTTTTGAAGCTACACGTACACCAATCAAATCCATATTCTAATTTCTAATGGTTGATAAGAGTAGATGTTTTTGTATGATATGAGTGTGCGTGCACGCTGTATGCATGTGTCCGTGTATATTGATGAAGGAATTGTTTCCTTATGAATAATAGGGCCAAATAAAATATCTATTATTATTAATTATATTCCCTTTGTTTAGTCCTTTCTCCGCCGTACTGATGCATTGTATCGAAGATAATATTAAAAGTTTTTACTGAAATTGCAAGTAGTTTTTTTTGTGTATGTTGCAATTTGAGAGAAGACGGTTATCTATTTGAAATTTTCCCATTGATCTTTTTTCAAATCTTTCAATCAAGTTAAACCGCATCAAGTCGAATCGAAAGAGAAAAATGCCGTTCGTTCGAATTATTGTTGGAAATGCGAAAACTTTTACAAATTTGAAATTATTCAGTGCAACTCGCCATTTCGCCAGTGTCAATAAGTTATTTTTATTTTTTATTCATTGCTATTGTTGTCACTAAACAATTTCTAATATTTTCGGGTATTTTTTTTAGCTTCGTATGAGTTTATCGGGACAGCCGTTGTTGGTCGAAAGAAAAATGTTGAATTGGTAACGCTGAATCGTCCAAAAGCCTAAAACGTCTTGTGCACTCGCTTAATGCATTCATTGTATTGGATCAAGCATTTTACACATTTGGATAAGGATGACACAATTGCGGCTATGGTTTTGACTGGTAATGAAATAGTCTAGGGAGTAAAATCATTTTTTTCATCTTTCATATCCGCACGCATCAAGTAATAACTTAGAAAATCAATGGTATGCATGTAAATCCGAAATATCCACGTATATTCAACAATATCCATCGTGAACGACAAATGAATATTACTGAATATACATAGATATGTCAAATTTACGTGTATACGTATGAAAAATAAAAATAGTAGCAAATAGTAGTGAATCAAACCTTCAACCGTAAATTTGAACGATTTTGGTAGATAACGGTGAATATTGGAACATTTTTTGACATTAAAGTCTAATGAATATTATTAAATTCACATAGATATTTGAGATTGACGTGCACACCAGTAAATTAGTGTAGATTGTATAGTCAAAAAATGTTCCAATATTCACCGTAATCCACCAAAATCCTTAAAAAGTGGTTCAAATTTTCGGTTGAAGGTTTGATTCACTATTATTTTTATTTTTTCAGAGTTATTTGCGTTCTGCAAAATCGCGTGAAGCCCCTAGGAAAAAGTATTCTCTGCTGGTGCTGATATCAAAGAGATGCAACACGTCCCCGCTGGAATAGGTATTGGAACGTTGTTTCTGGCCCACTGGCAAACCAAAGTCAGAGAATTTAAAAAGTCTATAATTGCAGCCGTAATGGATATACGCTGGGCGATGGATGCGAATTGGCCATGATGTGTGACATTATTTATGCCGGTGACAAGGCGAAATTTGGACAACCTGAAATTGCCGCCATCGGTACGATTCCAGGTGCTGGCTTAACTCGCGTCGTTGACAAATCAAAAGCCATGGAAATTTGCTTGACTGGTAATATCATCGATGCTGTCGAAGTCAAATAGAGTGGTCTAATTAGCAAAGTATTTTCCGCCGATCAATTGGTTGACAGGGTCATCGAATTGGGAGAGAAAATCGGCACACATTCACCATTGATTGTCAACTGTGCAAAGAAGCTGTTAACACTGCATATTTAAGGTAGTTTGCTTCGATAGTTTACCCTGGTGATGATCAAATCTTAGGCATTTGCCTCGATGGTTTACGTTGGCGATGATCAAATCTTTCCTTTTTATTCACAAATGACGCAAGACCAATTTTATTAACGTACAATTCAAGACTGAGATTTATTTCGTTACATGTTATTACATTTTGATATGCGCTATTCATTGATACGCCGCTCGTGCGGCTTACCATAGTCGCACGAGTACGTTTGCACTCACTACAATATGAAACCACACTGCAAGAGGGTCTACAGTTTAAAAAATGCACCTTCCACACCACATTTTTAACGGTAGGCATTTTTTCCAGATACTTCTATTCTTGTTACTATTTTTTTCAATTTGTTCAACAAATTTTGTTGTTTGCCTTTTTTCTTCGTTCCGTTATTATATAATTGTCAAGCCAAACTCGACTAAATTTTCCATAATTTTGAACCTACACATTTTTGTTTATAACTTTACAATCACACTACATAGACAAATATTGCCAACGACAAAAATGAAGAGAAAACATTGACGAATAAAAATTTTCTTTGAAGCAATGTGATCCGATGTACGGTTTACGTTCTACAGGCATTCAAATGTTGTCCGTTTAGAGGCGGTTGTATGCATTAGAGGGTTAAGGAATAACAAAAAAAAACCGAATTTGTTCGTTTTCTACTATATATAGCAGGGCATATTTTAAGGAATTTTTAGAACTACCGTAAAAATATAAAAAGATGAAAATGCGGCAGGGTACACATTTTTTTTTAAAATTTACTTCGGCCCATATGGGCATATACATTTAAATAGCTCATGATAGTAACATGAAAAATGTGAATTTTAAATGCGTTTTTCTTGCGAAAATGATAAGAGATAATAAATTAGTGTGTTCAGCAAAGCTTCGGAGCCTAACTAATTCTATAACTTTGTTGGAGATAACAATTCGTTATCTCTTATCATTTTCGCAAGAAAAACAAAAAAAGCACGTTCCACAATTCACAAATTTGATGTAACGTTCGACGTTTCTATTGAAGCGACAATTCATGTTACGGTTTTAAAAAACAAATTAACTATAATAATGCGAATTTTATTCTCAGCTCACGATTAAACTATCAATGTCGCGTGCATCGCAATAAAAATTGACACCGAATGATTTGCTACTTTCAATATCGCATTATTTTTTCGTATTCTGCTCGTTGAGCATTGCAAAGTGTTCGGTAGCAGTACCGTAACTCTTTTCGCAAAAAATCGCCATTTCATAATTTTTTAAATAAATTGCTTCGATTTCTTTCCAGCAGATGCAGCAATCTTAATTTATGTTTATTTTCGGTCTCCGTTATCTAAAATAATGCTCGTCAAAATGCATAGAACCGATATAATATTGCTTCTAAATAATAATAATAATTAAAAAATAAAAAATAAAAATATGTCCTGATATACAGTAGCAAATAGTAGTAATAGTAAGTTATGTATAAGGTTTTTTCTATATGAACAAAATAAAAAGGGTTTTCTTTTCAAAAATTCTCCGTTGGCTATGAGTGTAAATGAGAATTTTCTCTGTAGAATTCACTTTGTTTGAGAAAGACAGGAATTTCTTCACACCGAACAATTATTTCAGCGAATGTTATTCGATCCGGCCATAATGAAAAGCAATAGGAAGGAACAATCTACGAAGAAAAAAATTTGGAAACTAGACAAAAACCAAAAAAACACACACTGAATAGTAATAATTTTGAATCACTTGGCGATTCACTTTATTGTTGCACATGTCTTAAAATTATAAATACGACGATTTGACTGTCATTCTTTTTATTTTAAAAATGCTTTACAGATTCTGTGGTTTTCCAAGCGAAATGTGTTTCAATGGTTGATTGGGCAGAATGTTTCGGACTTCTTCGTTGAATTTTGGATTTGCATAGATGTCAGCGGTGAGTTCATGCAGACCGATCTCTTTATCTGCACGAGCTTTCTTGGTGGCTTCATCAACTTCTCCCTTGATGCGCAATTCAAGGGCCTGAAAATGTGCCAAAACAAAAAGGGATTTATAAAATTGCGCGGCAAAAAGACTCCTATTTAAGGAGCTTGCTTTTATCCATATGGATTTTTAGAAAAATGGAAGAACGAAAAAAATCGACGAAATCAGTTCGATCCATTTTTTAAATCATTATTTACCTTGATCTCTTCTGGTGTGGCCAATTCAGCGTTCAAAATCTTTTCCCGGAATGATGTGATTGGATCACGTGATTGACGCACTTCTTGGATTTCTTCACGTGTACGGTAGCTGGTACCTGGATCCGACATCGAGTGACCGGAATAACGATATGTGGCTGTTTCCAAAACGATTGGTCCTTTGCCCGAGTCACAATGATCGATGGCGAATTTCGAAGCTTCACGTACAGCAATCACATCCATACCGTCGACCCAGATGCCTGGCACATAATCTCCACGTTTGTAGTAGTCTACACTGGCTGATGCACGTTCAGCACTTGTTCCCATTCCGTATCCTATATAGTTCAGGAGAATTGTAAAATGTCAAAAGAATTTTCGTTAGAAAAATTGAAAACGAACATTCAAACAGTTGGAAAAACTGAAGTTTTCAGGAAAAAAATTGTTGGTAATTATTTCAAAGAAGGACGTGACTCATCACTGATAGCTGTATGCTCTACGTATTAAAATCGTACCATCAGTTTATTCAGTCGCAGTCATGATAATCATTACATGATTAGCTAAACTTAGGCCTTCAATATTTCCAAAGGAAAGCATACGCACCGTTATTTTCGCAAACAAAAATGGCTGGAATGTTCCAGAGCTTAGCCATGTTGTAAACTTCGAAGATTTGACCTTGATTGGCAGCACCATCACCATACAGTGTGAAGCACACAGCTTTCTTATTCTTGTACTTGGCTTCGAATGCAATGCCAACGCCTAGTGGAACTTGGGCACCGACGATTCCGTTGCCACCGTAGAAGTTTTTGCTGTACATGTGCATAGAGCCGCCTTTGCCGCGTGAGCAACCCGTTCCACGACCGGTCAATTCGGCCAAGACACTGTGCGGTGAAACTCCCATCAAATAAGTCCAACCGTGGCATCGATAGGCTGTGATTACACGGTCGTCCGGTCGCATGGCAGCTGTCATACCGACGGCACAGGCTTCTTGTCCCGAATACAAGTGGCAAAAACCGCGCACCACTTTATCTTTGTACAATGCACCGGCGGACGTTTCCAATCGTCGAACGTAGAACATTTTCTCGTAATATTTGAGGGCTTCTTCTTTTGTGACTACAGCCGTTGTTGATGGTCCATTATCTAAGAGGTGCAGCTTGAAATCACGTGTCGTGAAACTCGCCTCCGTTGCATAACCGTTTGCTGGTACATTTTTGCACTGTTCGATTCAACAACGACAAAAATATTGCATTAATTTAACTAAACCAAAATTCAGTTTGAGGGGAAAAAATCGGTAAAAACGCAACAGGAGTTGGGCAGATTTAAAAAAAAGGAAGATAATTTTTTTTAAATTTTTGAGAAAAAATCCATAAGAAAAACTCGTTAGTCATTGGAATGCCATAAGATTTGGTGACATTTGGATAGGGAATTGGGAATAGTATTGGTGAAATTCAATTGACCTTCATTGCAATTGTGTTTTCGATGAAATTTTGATCATGCCATTCTCAATGGAACAACAACAAAAACCCATCACATGCACGATAACACACAAAATGAAACATTTTGATGAATTGATAAGGGGATAACGTGATCATTAGCAAATGTTTCAATGATTCCAGTGTTGTTCCGGATTTTGTCGAAGAAAGTCATTTTAAGGTTAAGTTTTCACATCTTATCACACTCGCTCGCGCAAACAAATGAAAGGATTGCAAAAAAAGAACAACAACAACAAACATGCACACACAGACAGAGACACTTCACACCTTTGTGGTGTTGACTTTGGTGCCACGGAATAGTCGGCCAAGCCTGGCCAGACCCCAATTCGATACCATTGCCCGGAATTTTATTTTTTTTTTTGTACAAGCGAAGTAATACAGTAAAATCACATTTGCAAAATTTTTATTTGTTTGAATTTGGTTGGTGTCGCCAGTAACGACGACGTCAAGCACACAATGTCTACTGTGTGCGCGCTGTCAGTTAGACGAATGAGTGTTGTTATGCAATCAACTTGTACTGGCGAGTCGGCTGGAAAATTCGTGCGATTTCTTCTGACACATACGCGCGATACATTCGCAACGTTTCCTCTGCGGATAAACTCCACTACTGTTTTGTCACTCGAAAGATTTCCATCGGTTTTTAAATACCAGCCGCATTGCCACCACATTTTCGATTTAACTTTTCTGCGTGAATATGGAATTTTTCCAGAGAATAGTTTATCACTTACGGCTGTCAACGAACGTTGAGTCAACTTTTTTAAACAATTCGTAAACATGTTGAGATTATGGCGTTTCGTTTTCAGTTACACGAATTACAAAGAAGAGCACAAATAAAACTGAATCGAAATTCCCGAACTTTTATTCTCGTCACATCAACTCGGGATGATTGTAGTGTCAGTCTGTCAAAACACGACGACAAACTTAACCATGCATCAGCATTTGTGTATCATCAGTCGCACACAGACAATTACTGTCATACTTTTGACATTTCACATCAGTTCACTCTGTCCCAAATTGAGAATGTCAAATCACAGTGCCACAGAATGCTGCTCGAGAGAAGTACATTTGAATTTGCACACGTTGAAAACGTTAGATTCGTATTGGATTATTGGTTCTATTGGAATTTGGATTTTTCTTCAGATCACTCAAAATGATTTTTACCTTTTTCACCATTTTGCTTTGTATCATCGGTCGGTTTCTCTTTTTCTCAAGACTTTTAAAATCATTTTTATCATTAATGATTAACATTATATGATAATCAATTGATTTTAAATTTTAAAATTTATTTTCAGAATTTCTTAGATTTTTAAATTTTAGACGTTGTTTGTGTCTTCCTGAGGGATTTTGATATCTTTACGCAGTTTAGAACACTTCGCTAGTTTTTGATTGTTTTCAGAAGATTTTTACCAGTTTCAATGAATTTATATGCATTTTTATACTTGTCAATTCTTTTTTACTTAATTTTCTTTTGCTCTTTTCCTTTTTTTTACTCAATTTATATAATTAAACTCAAAAAGGGAGAAAAATCCTAGAAAATGATGAAATTTAAAGAAAGTGCTTCGCTGAGCAGCGGAGCTACTTTTTAAAATCCATTCAAATTGCATCATCTATCAATTCCTCTCAATGGTGAAGAAGGTGGCTCTGTTGATCATAAAATTCGGATCATTTCCAGTAAAAACTGTCTCGTGTGAAGAACACGTGCTCAAATCCAGTATTGAGTTTCTTTCGGCGATTGATTGAAATAAAAAGGTTTCTCTCCTCGCTGTAATGAAATGAATGTTGAATGTGTGTTACACAACTACCATGGCATCGTGTAGCACGCATGAGTCGATTGAACAAATCAACTGATGGTTCTTATCCGAAAAGCGGAGCAAAAGCAAGATGAAGAAGAGAAATAAAAGCAATGATTTCATGTGAACGATGGATGATTACTTTGAAAGCGGCAACAAGAATTTCACCTCGAATAAATCAATGTGGTTTTCCACAAGGATCTTGTAAATATTGGCAAATGCATAAACCGTTTGTAAAAGACGTTATGCGATGTCGAGGCTACGTAGATATCAAAGAGCGTTGAATAATGCGCAACGCGATTCACATACACAGACATACACATACAATGAAAAAACGCGCGATATCACGTACACATGGATATGACCGCGCGCGTTGTACGAGTGTATATTTGACGTATTGTCAGTCGGTGTACAGCCATAAATGTGCGTATGGGTTTCGATAGAAACGATTTCACTTAGTATTGTGCTGTGTATGTGCGCGTTTTTATTTGGCCAAAGCGATAAAAAACAACAGTAGTGAAGGCAAATACACATACAGCAGCACACAATGAAAAAAAAAACGGTCGCCCCCCGTACACACCACCACAGACGCAAGTACGCATTTGAACATGATAAACTCCAACCGAATGCATTCGGTAGCCTAGTTCTTGGATATAGCGCGAAAAATAGACATTGAAAGAACTCTGCGAGGAGAATCGAATCAAGAGTGTGAGCAAAAAAGAAAACACACAGTTTCAAAGTTGCCATTCGTGTTGAATTTTGTGGGTGCATCGTGATAACGACAGCGAAAAAGAAAAAAATTGTTTCTGTGTAAAAACTAAAACAAGGCAAGCCAAAATAAAAAAAAAAACAAGAAAGTTTCTGTTTTCTATCTAGAAAATTGTTCGAATTTGAACGTAGCGATTGAGAGAGAGAGAGAGTGTCTTTGGTTGCTTCCGGGAAAAATTGTCAAAGGAAGTTCCCCAGAACGTTTGTTATTATTGATCAATTTGATGCAACCGAAATTCGTGCTGAATTGTGCCAAAGTCATAGAAAAATGTTTGAGGCGAAAGAAAAGATGTGGACAATCATACCACTTTTTTTCTATTTATTTCACGCTATCGATTGCTAAATGCGTTATCAATTTCTAATCGGAGCGAGAAAAATAACCCACACACACACACACAAGCAGAGGAAGAGAATGTGAAATTATGAAAATCGAAATGTGCTAATATTGCCACAATTATACCAAAAAAAATGTTTCCGTTGTCCATCGATTGGAAATCGTCACATTGGCTTTTTGTTGTTGTTACCCAATCGAGAATCATGTTGCTTTTCTGTGGCTTCACGCTTTCCATTTGAACAGAGATAGACAAGAAAATGGCAATTACTTTTGAATTGAATTTGTGTGTTGGGTGTGTTGAAAGGGTGCAAAGCCATCTCTGAATCCTGGAAAAATGCGATACAATTTGTTTTAATTTCAAAAGTTTTACGTCACACAAAAACATACACAGCACACTCCATTCCAAATTTATTTTACTGTCGAGAGATGAATCAATAGGAAATGTGTGTCTATGTATGTGTGTGTGTTTTTTATCGTTTTGTTTTTGCATGAAGATAGAACAAAACAGACGGCAAAAAACATAAGAGAGAAGATGAAGTGTTGTAGCTTTCGTTTTTGAGTGAGAATTTTGTTATATTATACATTTGTTATCTTCTGGTGAAGATTCCGCAGTACATGTTTGAGTGAGTGAGTGAATGAGTCGTTGGAGAACTTTATAATTAGCTTCGTAGTGTATTCACTGCTTGCTTGTTGTTTTTTTTTCTCCTTCAACTGTTTCGTTCAAAAGCATTACAGTAAACAAATTAAATCCAACCGCAAGCTTGTTTTATTTACGGCCGACGAACGAAATCGAAATGTTCATTAATTGAACTCTCGACGAAATATATATATATATATATATATATATATATATAGAAAAGATCGAAAAAGGTGACAGTGACACTAATTTCATTTGCAATTGTGATAAGGTTGCGTGTGAAACGTGCTATATTCGGTTGTTCGTTCAATCGTGGTACAACAATAAATATTGAAACAATGATATACAGTGTTTGCTTGAGAAGGAACAAGAAAATTTCGGAAAATTAACCACAAAATGGCGAAAAAAAACATAGAATCGATTTGAAAATAAACAGAACAATTTCAAAATTATAAACAAAAAGAAATTGAAGGAAAAAAAATGGAATTCATTCCAAACAAAAGTCCAGTTAAGCATTAAAGATCGGTTCGTAAAAGAGTGGTCATGCAAGTGGTTGATGCGTCACAGCAAACAACAACATGCGCTTAACAAAGACAAAGCCAGATTGCCCGAGGTTTATTAATTGAATTTTCGTCGTTTCTTACTTTGATGACACGTTCTATTTTTTTTTCCATTGAATTCTGTGTTTGACTCTTTTGTTTTTTTCCGCTTGTGCTGTGTGTGTGTGTGTGATGTTGTTGTCATCGTCTATTGTTGTTTGGTTGGCGCGCATTGTTTCGCTCGGTAGCTCACTGGTCCACTTGTATGAAATCATGATCGCATTTGGAAATAGGTGTGGCGATGATTTCAAATCGCTTACCTATTTTACATCTTCGGTTTGAAGCATCAGAAAACGATTCAGTAATTTGCATGTGTGTGCGCGCAGCGTGCTCTCTCACTCAACCGATCTCCTCGTCTACACATATGTAATAGTGAAAACCAAAAAAAAAAAAACAAAACAGAATCTTTGACAGTTTTGTACCTACCGGAATGGGCTTGAACTTGTGTGCCATGTAAATCGCAAACAAAACCAAAACAATCAGACGCTATCAAAGACACCTTCGATCGCTATTTTCATTCAGTTTATCGATATTTTTTTGTTTACTTTCTTCAGTTTTATATATATATATGTCTAACTTTATATATCTAATTTTTATCTTGTCTAAATTGCAGCAACTTGCCCACATTCTACAAGTGATAGCGAAACAGCAAGTTTGTGCATTGCCTACGTGTTACAGGATATTAAACAAAAAAAAACATAAACAATCAATATGGTTAAGTACGACTTAAGTGTGTTCCAAGAGCCTCGCGGGGTCATGCGAATATTCCAATTTGTAAGTAATGGTAACATTTGTTTTGCTTAATTGAGCGTCAAAATGATATTTTGTTTTGAAATCGCATTTAATCAATTCACAACGCACGTCGCAATAGCGATGAGATCATGAGAAGACTATATATGTATATACATTGTTGTTCTATGATCAGTACGTATTAATGGAATTTTTAAGAACGTGCATTTCGCGCTTGTAAATGAATTAAGCAAACTTGAAAGTGTGATTTGACAAATAAAAACGAACTTTTCACAAACTCAGCGAACTGATAGAAATCAAAAACAAATCTTCTTCGATCTGCACTGAGTTTAAAATTCTTATCTTATCACTATCCATAGATTTGAAGAATATAAAAAAAAGTTCAAGAAGACTAACGAAAATTTGAAAGTGCGTTAAGAAGTAAAAGAAAGGCAATTTTATACTGAGACTGATAAATCTCATTCTTTTCGGAACTTCTTTCAAACAACAACTCGTCAACTCTTTTGTTGCTAGGTTCCATAAAATTGTAGAAAAAATGTAGAATTCAAATCAGTCATCCGATCCTTGATGTTTTCAACAACTTATTTGGCTCCAGGGGAGTTTAATATTTAGTATGGGAATAAAACTGCTATAAACTGCTATAAAACGTGTTTTAATAATTGAAGTAACCAAGAATTAATTGTAGTGGCCCGAAAATAATTGTAGAAGCACCTTGAAGTTGTTGAAAACATCAAGGATCGGATGAATGATTTGAATTCTACATTTTTTCTACAATTTTATGGAACCTAGCAACAAAAGAGTCAGTTTGTGGAAAGTTCGATTTGGAGCCAAGATTTGAGTATTACCGATTTTGGACCAATTTCCATGACTCGTCCCGATATCGAACGAACGGGCTTATTTGAAAACAGACAATTGATTTTAATTCTACAATTTATCTACAATTTTTTGGAACCATTCTTCATTCGAAAAAAAATTCGATTTGTGGAAAATACGTTTTTTGACCAAGATTTGAATTGTCCCATTTTATAGCAGTTTTTCGATAGCCGATTACTCAAAAAAATTGTTCCTACATAAAAAAATTAAAAACACTACATTAAAGTACATAAAATCTACAATTGAAATCGCCCTACCCGAAGTCATTTCGGCGAATTTGCCAAGATTTGAATATTCATCTAGAATTATTAGGAAGTAGAAAGCCGCGATTGGACCAGATTGCCCATACTTACCTTCTGAATAATAAGCTATACTGCCGGAAAAAAGTTTGGGACCAACATGCATTTTCCATACAAACTGATCATTTTTGGTGGCTCTGATAACATATTTTGGAAACAGCTAGCCTTTTGAAATTTTGCATATCGTTTTCTATAACCTTTGAAGAGTAAACCAGAAAAGTTTCACCGGAAAATATTCACGAATTCCAAAGATATGGCAATTTGAATTAGATGTGCTTTATTTTTCATACAAATTTTATCATTTTACACACATTTATATTTCAAATTGCTATATCTTTGCAAACCGTGAATGTTTTTCGGTGAAACTTTTCTGGTTTACTCTTCAATGGTTATAGAAACGATATGCAAAATTTCAAAAGGCTAGCTGTTTCCAAAATATGTTAACAGATCCACCGAAAATGATCAGTTTGTATGAAAAATGCATGGTGGTCCCAAACTTTTTTCCGGTAGTGTATGAGTCATTTTTATGCCAGAAACGACGAAAAATTGGAACAAATTTCAATTAATGTCATCACATTAAATGCATCAAACGAGCATAAAAACACTATTTTTTTCTTCATAATTTGCTTATGATTCGTACAAATGTGTACGGACAAATATTTTTGCTTCATTTATGAACACCAAATGTCCAAGATCAATATTTGAGGGCCTGAGAGTGAAAGTGACCAACAAAAAGTTGAGCGTAAAATTGACCTAACGCCATACAAAACAGCTTGACGGTAGCATGTGTTTTGTATGGAATTAGGTCACTTTTACGCTCAACTTTTTGTTGGTCACTCTCAGGCCCTCATTTATTACAGGTTTTTCGTAATTATATCTTAATGTTTCTTTAGAACCATTATCTCGTATTTTGTGTTCAACTTTCGGAACATTTCATGAATGAACAGAGTGATAACACGTGGAGATGAGAGCATTTCGGCGAAGAAATGATTGTTTGCGGCAATTTTGGAGGAATTTAAATTATTTACAAATTATGTCGCAAAATTATGCAAAATTTCATTCATAAATTACAAACTAACAGATGTCAAAACGAAATGAAATACGTAAAAAGGACATTTTAAAAGTAGAAGGAGATATAGACCATGCTAACATCTTTTAATAATGAACGATAAATTCTAATCATTTTTTTAAATTTTCAAACATTTTGTTTTTGTTTTTTTTTTTCGTTAAATAAAAACAGACCAATTCAACAACGAAACAACAATGATAATTGATTTTTAGAAAAAACAATATAGGCAATTCAGAATAAAAACGAAAATTGTATCGAATTGAAGAAGAAAAAGTAATGAAAAAGAGGATTACTTATTGAGACGCTCTTTTAACCAAAAGCAATTGTTTGTGTGGGATTTATTGATTCGATGTACAATAAATATTATTGAATTAGATTAATTTCTCTTGTAGGTATTCGCCATCTGTGCACTTTATACGACGATCAATTTCGATATCAATGTCACTGTGGGTCAGGGCGTCGAGAAACAAACATACACTTTCGACTATCCATTCCGGTTCGGGCAGAATGTTTGCAATAAAACATCCGATCAAAAACCATTGGGCCTATCGGCCGATGTATCTAGTGATGCTCAATTTTTCGTAGCAACCAGTGTCTTATCTGTTCTGTATTGCATATTTATCGCGGCCGTTTATGCGGTCATTGACGAAATCTACACGTCGAAACCAGAAGTTCCGCTGGCGGTAAGTATCAAAACTTTCAATTCGAGTGCTTCTGTTTTTATTGCCAAAAATATAGATTTGAATTGAATGATCATTGTACATTTTTATCATCGTTTGCATTGAAAAACATCTTTTAAAAATGTTTTCTTTTTGTATCCAGGATTTCATGTTAACAACCATATTGGCAATATTTTGGTTGTCGGGATCGGCTGCATGGGCCAATGGCGCGAGCGCCTTGAAAACAGTCACCGATGCCAATTCAATTTCAGCGTTGTGTGGCAAAATTGTCGTGTACACGAGTAGCTTTTCGCGTTTGAACATCTCGTTGCTGTTTGGTTTTTTGAACTTTTTCTTGTGGGCATCGGATCTCTGGTTTTTGTACAAAGAGACCTATTGGTTCAAGGAGCGTCAGCAAAACAATATCAATGGTGCTGGCGGAAGTAATATGAATGCGCCTAATATCTAAACAGCAATTTGGCTGAAACTGGAGGAACGTACAAGGTAAGCAAAGGCGTACCACACAAACACACACACCTCAGTTGCAACAATCATCAAAACAGAAACAAGGAAACAAAACAAATACAAAATCACCACAAAAAAATACAAGGGACAGCCCCAGCGAAGGACTTTATTGATCAGCGCCATCATCATACAATTACATTTGGAATTCATATCAAAAACACACCGAACAAAACAACAAAATCCAAAAAAAACAGACAGAACAAATCAGTTTTGAACAATATATCATGGATAATAAACGTATCATAAGCATCAATTGAATGTGTATCTAATGGAATAAACTAATTGAAATATAGGTGTGCTGCGCGCGTGTACAAGTGCATATCATAACAAAAATAAATGAACAATTTTAGGAAGAAAATGTAAACAAACGAAAAGAAATCAATATTGTGGATCAAAGTGGTGGATATAGTCAAATACTTACCAATATTTATCTAAATGTCTTTCGTTTTTCCCCCTCTTTTCGTTACGTTTTTTTTTCGATAGGGAGTCTGCTTAAATTTTTTCTTTTGGCCATTTCTACAACAGACCTATCTGTCTTTCTAACTTCCATTCGGGTTGTATCCAGTGAGCAATATAGAACAACAATTATACCTTTCTTTAACTGTTCATTGTCGGCCGTTGGTGGAATTTGACGTGAATTCGCATTTTTGTTTTGTTTGATTAATTTTTTGAAGTATTTTTTTCTGAAATAATTTTTGTTTTAATTAAACCAGATCATTACTTTTATGTGAAGAAAACCCAAAATTATTTTATAAATAAAAAAGAATCGGCTATCAAAAATATTTTTGATTTTATAATTTCCCATTGAAAATCCCATTGAATCATTGGTATCTTAAGCATTTGTCATTTGTTTTTGTCATCCAGTCTAAGCCAATTCGTTCACAAAAATATACATCGTTTTTGCACCTGGACCGATCATACCCACTGATCGACACAAGTCAATAGTACACATTAGTACTTCTTTCGTTGGAAATGACGCAAAAGTCACATATTTTGACAAACATATTCAATTTGCGCAGTGGATTGAATTGACATTCAATCTTGAATTGGGAAACTATATTTTCTCGACATTTTTCATGGATATTCCAATATTTTTGAATTTATTTTCTTTCAAGAAATGCCAAATAAAATATTTTGGCAAAAGATTTGCAAACATTTTCCCCATTAATATGATGAAGCACTCGATTTTTGAGTGATACACATTCAAAGGTGGGAATCATTCAAAAAGGAAAAGAAAGGAAAACAATGAAATATTTTCAAAAAGAAAACACTGAGTCAAAGAAAATTCAAATTTTCCAAACAAGTTAGGTGTTTAAAAAAAAATGAAGCGTACTTCATTCAAAAAGCATGGACGAAGTCCTTTAATTCTATTTTGAATAAAACTTTTTTTATTTCGTTGGAAAATCAATCAATCATAATTAATTTAAATTTTCAAAAGAAATGATCAATTGCGATTTGCACGAATGTCATTGGAGTGAGCAATAAATTCAGTATTCAATTGAAATGAAATTAAAAGGAAAATGTATTGTAAAGAAACGGAGACGTTAAGCTTCATTTTAGGGTGCATTTATCTCCGTCATACAGTTGCCGGTGATTTTCGAAACGGAAACAAATCAACAACACAATATACATGCATTAGAGCAATTTTTTTCTGGCTTAAATAGAGTAACAAACAACCGTAACAAAGAACAATAATGTGTTTTTTCAAGAAAACAGAACAAAAAAAAATTTACTAGCAACTACAGCAACCAGCTTCCAAACAGAGAAGAAGAAATGAAAAAAAAAGCTAAATGGTGAAAGCAAAACAACGTAGTACCTTCGCAAGCCAAGTGAATATGCCTCTAAAACTCTAAATATGAAACTAAAAAAAAAAGATAATGTAAATTAATGTATTAATGTAATATTGTAACGCGTATTAGACTAAATTGTTGCAAATCAGTTAAAATACAGATATATTTACTGTCTATTTTCGATTATGTGGCGTTCATTTCCCAAAATGCACGAAAAGAGTATTTGCTCCAGTTCTCAAACTCTTCAAAAATGTATAGAAAAAATGCAAAACAATCTCACAACCCGATTGATACCGGGCACCTATTGACCGGGTGAAATGGGGACATTCATTTTGACCTTCTGATCTGAACAATAGAAGAATTAAAATCTATTGCAATTATTGCTTTAATCAGACTTAACGATCACTCCACCGAATTCACCCAAAATACAACCCCCAAATGAATTTTTGAAAAACAAAACTCACCGTACATTTAACACACAAAAAAACAAACAAACTAAACAAACTATCAAGTTTTCCAAGATTATACATTTTGATGAAACATTTTCAAAATGTTTTTCTCCTAGGCATATATTTTTGTGGTGTATTGAAGAGAATCATAGCAATTAGACAATTAAGAATTGACAAACAAAAAATTATATCACTTAAGAAATGACGAGTGGATAAAATTAAAACAAAAAATGTAAACAAATAACAAAAAAAAAATGGATTGAAAAGACAATTTCAAATAAAGACCTAGAGAAATCAAAATTGACGAGTCTTATTTCGAATGGCGAAAAATTCATTTATTTTTTATTCAACAGCTCCAAGCTCTGGCCGAATATAATAGATTAGAATAGGTTTGGCCGGAAAAGACTGTTACATCAAATTTATTGTGATGGAATTGAAATATTTTCCAAAATCAAATTTTTTCAGACTGTCTTGTAGAGAACCATTCCTTTTTTTAACAGAGAAACTATTTTAATTTTCTCAAGCATTTTTTTAAAACTTACTATCGCAAATCTCCGAACCATTTTTACTTTAATTTTGAAGTATGCACTCTTTCAGACAATGGAATTAATTGAACAAAAACAACGAAAACTTCTTGTAATTTTGAAAAAAAAAAAAAGATTTTTTCATTCAGAATAAGAAGTTTTTGCTTCGTTTTTTTTTTAACAAATTCAAATCAATTTAACTATTTGGACTTGAACCTTTTTCGGAGTAATTTTGCCATATTCTCTGCGATCTATTTTAACTCGACCATTTTCATTTCAAAGATTAAAAATAAAATTGAAATTCACATTTTATACGATGAATCTCGATTTTTATTATTTGAAAATATATTAATTTCAATTGACTTTTGACCAAGTATGAGAATGGTATGGCTTGACATGTTGTCAGAATAAAATATAAGTGAAACTGCATTCTGTAGCACTTGAAAAAATTCTAAAATTTTCATAAAAATTTATTTTCCAAAGTTTAGGCCACAAACATCCTCAATTAAAAGAAATTCATCAGCGGAAGTTAGAATTCATGAGCAAAAATTAGAAAAAAATGTAATAAAATGAAATGGAAAAAAATATCCAAATGGGTTTGAATGTGAGAAATATGTCGAAAAATTATTTTGAAATACCGTTTGAAAAAAAGGACAAAAAAATTGGAGAAATGATTGAAAGCTGATAGTTGACTGTTCCGAAGAAGAAGATTCATTTTTTTTCTTTTCCTTCATTTAAGCTTCATTTGAAATGTTCGAGAGTTGTTGCTTTGCAAGTTTTCAGCAAATTTGAAATGCTCTGTTGAATATAGGATGTCATCAATCAAGGTATAAGTGATTTGAATTTGGAATGTGTCTCATACTTACCAATGTGAGATTTACTGAAAGAGAACCAATTTTCTTTCCTTCGAAAACTTAAAGAATCAGGGCGAACGAAGAAAAGCTGTTGAAATATCGCCAACAAAGAAAATATCGTGAGAAAATGGTCCCTTAAACTACTCGAAGCAACAATGAAATAAAAGGAACTCGACAAATTTTTTTTGCGTGTGATTTTTGTGTCTTTTTTATTTGTGTTTTTAGAATTTACTGATTTTTAATGCTAATACTTTGGTTTTTTCTAAAATAAATAAATTGTAATTATGAAAATAGATCCTATCCAGATGTGGGGCAAAAAAGGGAGAAAATTCCTGTGTCGATGGCGGTTTTTGATTCGCGCGGAATTTCCTTCCGTGTTTCCCCCAAATATTCTGACTTAACGATGATTTGCAAGATATACTCTGGCCAAATGGCTTAACAAAGATTTTGTTTTTTTTATTTGTTTTTCATTTTTCCTTTAAATAAATGATTGTTCTGAATGCTCTGGTTTGTGACGTATATAAAATGATGATGTTGATTGCGTTATGTTTGTGTGTGTGTGTGTGTGTGGGGGGGGGGGGTTATTTCATTTCGGACTATTAAACGGTGGATATTTCAAAGTGGTCAGATAAATTGCACTAATAGAATCGAGGCATACATCTATAATATAGCGAGATTTTATATAAAATAAAATGGATCGAATGCGTTGCACATTTATTGCCTCGATATGTAAGGCCCGTTCCAACACGCGATTGTGTTGTCTCAGTCTTTGTGCTCATGTAAATTGCTCGTTGTTACCGTGTGTTTGTGCGATAACATCGTGTGCGATTTGAGTTTTTTTTTCTTTTTTTGGAAAACTGAACTTATCGTATTTTATTGAAGTATCGGGCAAAATTGCATGGTTTATTTTTTCATGATTCTACATCGGCGCGGAAAAAGACAAAAAATGTATCAGTAAATTTGCAATTCAATTAAGTCATCAGCAGAGATTCGAACGAGCTAATTGCTAGAAGAAATAAATTAAATATTGATATAGATTAAAAATTGCAATAAATTGCCTTAAAGGTGTAAATTGTTTAATTTTTTTTGTCGTTTTTGTTCATCTTCTTTCTCATATTATAATTATCGATCTGTTTTCTCTTCTCATTCAAGTAGATTGGTAGAGTTTTAAAATCTATATATAGTGTGATATGAAAATATGTGATCTTTTTTTTGTTTGCTTCTTTTCATTTTGCTCTCTTATCAAATACGTGATTTTTTATTCGTAATAGAGTTAAACGTAGCTGTAATAATAGTGATAGAATTAGCTCTTAATAAATTGGTTCCGAACGATGCGAGTTCGATTTTTTTTTGCTCCTTCTTTTATGTTCTTGGGTGTTTTTCTTGTATGAATAAACCGTTAAGTATTTTGTGTGCCTGTTCCCTTGATACCCTCTCGTCATTTAAATAAATTTGTTTAACGTGCTGTTTTCTTGTTAAAGGCAACGCGAACGTGTTTTTTTTTGTTTCTTCTTCTTTTTATTCAAGTCTTAATCATCTTGATGGAGTTCGTTCAGGTAAGTTGTTGTTGTTGTTATTTTGTAAATCTCAAAAAAATATTCTTGAAAATAGTCTCTTGAGTCGGTGTTCATTCTATATAATATTTATATATATAAAAAAATGGGGAGCATGTGGGGTGGGGGGGATCGGTTGGCGTTCAAGTAACATTCCCTCAACTTGTCGCTACCTAATTACTCACCTCGAAATAATCCGATTGAATTGCCAATAATTAATAAAAGTTAATAAATTACATTATCATTTAAACATAGATGTAGGTCCATTAAAGCTAGATTCATAAGTTAGGATTTTTGTGTTTGTGTTTTTTTTTGTTGATTTCATTTTTTTTTTTTTTTTTTTCTGTGTATGTCTTGTGAGCACGTCCTCCCTTTCTCTCTCTGTCTCTGTTAGATATTTTCACTTTGTTCATCTGAATGCTCAACTTCAATTCCTTATGCGTTTATTTGTGTTAAGACATTTTACGTTGCATTCTCTCTCTCCCTCTCTCTCATTCTCTGTCTCTTTCTCTCATTTTATATGCTAACTATGTTCCCATAATTTTGTACTTTTTCTTCTAAATTGAGGAAAAACCAATAATGAAAAAAACAAATAATTTTTATTTAATTTCAATTGTTCGCTTTTGTTTTGTTAAAAAAAACTTAAATTCTTCGTTTTCGATTTTACTTTCAACATTTCTACAAAAAAAAAACAAAACATAGAAAAACATATTTCAACTAAGAGCAAGATACACGGGACAAATTCGAACTTAACATTCGGCTAGCATTCTCTGTTACAATGTCAGACCACATGCAGGAACTTCCACTCGATGATAGGGTTAATATTAAGACTTGATAAATGGTTGGTATTGAAACCATCAATTGGGTCAACATTTGACCTTACACTGAGTTCTCTTCTAAATTCTCGAACTCATTTTGATTCCAGATTAAATTGATTTTGGGTTTCTGACTTCAAAACTACAGTGCACATTGCAACTGACAACCATGACTTCGGTCTAAGATTGGAACACAAAATGCCATTCCGAATGCTCAAGTTGGGCATTCAAAACGATTAAAAAAGAAAATCAAATTTCATGTGAAAAGATATCCAATGGACAATCCTAATATATGCTTTGTTTTTTAATCAATTATTAGATTCGTTTTCTACACCATTTCTCTATTTTTCGCAAAAAAAACATTTTTGTTTGTTTGTTTGTTCTATTTTCTACGACTTCTACTTTAGAATACACAAATGTTTTGGATATCATTGAAGTCTTGCCTCTTGTAATGATGCACCGCCAGCACCCTGATATGGTGATAAACCGTGAATTCCGTTAGCCGCTGCAACAGCAGCCATTCCAGCCGATTGCGGTAGTGTTGTATACGTGTATGGTGCCATGTAATTCGCAGCAGCACCTACAAATTGGGTAAAATATTTGAATTTGATCGGGAATGTTTTGGTTGAATGAAATGAATTCTCATTTGAACTGCTTTTTTCTAGATGAAGCGCACTTTTGAAGCAAAGACATCAAAAGTGTTTCATAGTTATTTATCAAGTCAAATTGAAATCATTTTCCATTAATCAAGCCTACTGATGAATCGTTCGCATACCTGCAGCAGCAGCGGCGGCAGCGCTTGAGTATGGATATGCTTCGTAGCCAGCATATTGTCCTGGATAAGGTGCAGCAGCGGCGGCAGCAACAGCGTTCTGCTTAAAATCGCAACGAAAAAAAAATCATAATTTTAAAAAAATGTTCTCAAATTGGGTGAATCCTCATAATTTTTCTTGTTGTAATTTTTGTTTCACTCGATGTATCACACACATCATGTGTCCCATTGAGTTCGGAAAAATCACTGAAACGGTGAAAAAAAAAACGGTGAAAAAAAAAATATCTTAAAAACTTACTTGATACTCATAGAACTGGTTGGTGGCAGCGGCGATAGCAGCGGCGTGTGAGAGCTGTGTGGCTGGTATCTGGACGAGTCCGGCCGCAGAGGCTGTCGTAGCCGCTCCTAGATACGGTGATCCATAGACGTATGATTGTGGTACACTAAAGTGGAAAACGATCCAAAAGAAAGAAAAAAAAACACATCCATTTGAATAAGGAGATGCAAAGAATGCTCAAACCGATGGGGTTTTTTAGTGGTAGCAAAATGAACTCAGAAAAAAGAAAATGTCAGAAAAACCGAAAAAAAAAACGTATATTTGTTCGCCAATTTGTAATGAATATCGCTCCCGCCCATCCCTTCCATCTATCAACCGGACACACTCGATTTGTGCACAAATTTTCGGGAGTAATGAAGCGAGTGTGCGTGAAGGATGTTCCATAGCAAATTGATGAACAAAGTTCAAAGATCGAATTTCGTTTAAGTAAAACTCTTCATTTTTGTAGCAAAAACACGAAATGTAATTCAAGTTTTTTCATTTTTTGGTTGCTTTTGTGCTAATGCCAATTTGGTGAGTCAATGTCATTCGTGCGTAGTTTTTCTTTTGCCACAAAAACGAAGCGCCTGCCATTTGGTAGTCTTTTCCACTTTTTTTTTATAAGAAAAAACAATATATATATGGAAATCAAACTTGAAACCAGGAAAACCAGATTATGAGTGCTTAAAAAAATATTCAAAAACTCAAATCGTTTATTTGTATTTTTTTTTTCATTGAAAGAATTATAAAAACTCTCAACTCAAAGATATTAAAACATGAATAATCAAAGAAAAAAAAAATAACGAACGCTTCAAATACACAGAAAAAAGAGTCAAATTAAAGTAAAAATAAACCAAGAGAAAAAAAACAAAATAACATCTTTACAATTAAAAACAATTATTTTTAAACGAAACACAAAAAAAATTAAAACCAGAGAAAAAATATCGTCAAGTTGGCAAAATGTCATATCATTTAGTCGGAAAATGTATCGTTTGTTTGTTGGGAGACTTTTAAAATCCACGATGACGACAACAACATCCAGTTGTTGCAGATAAATTCAAAAGAAATTTATGATCGAACCGTAAATACGGCCAATGTATCGAATGCAAGTCACTTTTGCGGTTAAAGCAATTTTGAATAAAATGCACTGACAATAGAGGCTGTTTCATGAGAAACTTTGACTCCATTTCATTTATGGTTTATTTCGAAGCTAATTAATTTCCTTATTTTCATGGATTTTCAACTGCCAAGAATTCCATTTCCCATTTCGAGGGCTCAAGTCCTCGAAGTTTAAGGACCGTAACACCACCAGTCACATATGATCATGGACAATTTGATGGACGTCTAAAATCAAAAATCACATGATTTCTGACTCAAATCCAATCCAAGAACCTTGGACCAAAACATAATTGACATAATAAGCTCCATTGATGTCAATTTCAGGCCATGTTCAATTGACCAAATTCCTATGAATGATTCCAAATTCCATTTATTACGTTCATTATCGCTTTTGAATGGTGTTGTTTTTATTCGCCTGTCTTTTGCGTGTCACTTCAAAGTGAGGTTCATGTTTTTTTTTATTGGATCGTGTGATGAAGCGTGTAAAATTGGATGCATGAAACCTGGCTTCCGCTGTTGATGCAAAAAGCGGGCACGAGCAGAAAAAAAACGGTTTCAAAAATCAAAGTGATAATCGGGTATTAATAGTGTGCTACTCTGTATGTGTGAGAGCGAATCTTAGTCCAAATGTGATAAAAAAAAACGTCGTCATGCGACTGCATTGAGAGAGTGAACTGACGACATTTCACGAGTGACTAAAATCTAAAAATACGTTGCGCGCGCACTAAGAAACATCTGCGAACGTATGGTTGTGGATTTTGTCGCGCCGCTATCGGTCGAAATAATATCGAAATAGAACTTTGAGCATTTGAAAATGGTTTTTCATTAGAAAACTTCAATCCGAACGACAGTTTAGGAAGTGATTTGCATTTGTTGGAAAGGGAATAGAATTTCGGGGTGAAGCTTTTTGTGTTGATCGACGATGAAATGTTCGCTTCAGAAAGAGAAAATCAAGACGGGAGTTCGTTGATATGCGTCTTGATTTGGTTGTTGTTTTTGGCCACGGTCGCATCGAAGTGATCATTTGTCTCTAGAAAGGGAGAGAAAGAAAGAAAGAGCTCTCGACTATCTATTTTAAGAATTGTCACCCGTATATTTCAATCTCAACGGAGAGCGAGTCAACGGTGTGAGTTCATTGTGAGTGAAGAGAGTGAGCGGAAGAGAGCGTGGCATTCGCCATTTTTCTTTTCACATCTTTCTATTTTATAATTTGATTGCTTGAGCAATGTTCGGTTCGTGTCGGCTATTTTGTTAGTATAAAATACCCATGACATGTTTAATATGCCGAGTGGAAAATCAAATTGGTCTCAATTGAAAAGAAAAGTTGTAATTGCGGTCATCTTCAAATAGTGGCCCAATTATCCATTATAGTCCGGTGGTGTGGAGTCAAAACACTGATTGACATGAAATCGTTAGCACATAGTAACCGTGTGGAAGAGTGGTAGAGAGAAAAATAGCCGGAAAATGTCATTGGAATTATGAAAAGCGACCAAAAAGTGTCCATTATTTCCATCTCTTGTAAATGGTGTCATTTGGTCTGCGTGCGTGTACACTTTGCGCGCAACGTTCATTGTCTGTCGAAATGTTCGGCCCCGTTCCTTACTCCTTCATCAACTCCTCAACCTCTTCCTCCTCCCCCCACCGTAATAATAATGTTGATGTGTTTCAGTTCAATGTTGTTTAACGTCAATAACAAATGACGCGCAATGGTCCGAACTCTAATTTCGAAATCTATGAGAGATAAATAAAGTACGACACGTACATACAATTAGCCACACACCGAATACAACAACAACAAATATCACACGTAAATAATTAAATATTTATATGTGGCTTCCATTTTTTTCTCTCTCTATTCTTTGCCTTGCTTCGAGTGCGCCATTTGACAAAGGGGGGGATAATTATTAATTTGTACGCCCGTGCTCATTGGCTTACTCGCTCATTCATCGCCGTGTGCACATGAATTTCAGCGAAAAACAAACATTCAACCAATGGCACAACTAAACGAATAAAATTTTATCATCACACGAACCAACAACAACAGCAGCCACTGTATGCAGCAATAATAAAGAGCCTGCCAAAGTCGAAAGAATTGAGCCGGGTGTTAGTCGCGCGACTGACCAATTTGTCGATCTGTCATTTTTGGCTTGTGGCCCGGATAAAAACCGAAATGTTTTCCATTGAAAATGGAAACGAGCGTGTATGAAAAAAAAACAGCTAAACAGCGCGCCGCACACATAAGAACATTTCAGAACGGTAAAAAGCCAGCCAGAGTCGAATAAAAATAAATCGGTTGACGGAGCGCGCGCATATGTCACCCTTAATGGTCATTCGCACTTAAAATGACACAGAAAAAAAAGACGAATGAGAAGGTATGCTCTAGGTTGGAATAGAACAATCACAACAAATAGTGAACAGCAAACAAACATTGGAACCTTGATCGATCGCTGGACAATCAATTATTTATAACCAAGAACCAGTAAATGGCGTATGACAACCATCAGTCAATGAAATATGCATGCATATAGAAATTTGAGCATTTTATTCAGTGACAATGAGGTAGTGGTGCAGGCAAATACGGTGCACGTGATTCGGCCGCTTCGAATGTATCGAAAATCACCACATTTTCAATTGCATTTTTAAGTGATTGTCGCGTGATCGCGCACACACAAACCAGAATATGTTCAATCACAATTATAACGGCGATACAATGATCGGCCCTTTTATTTCTCAACTGGAACAAAGCGTGCGCCCGAATTGATTTCGATGATTGATAGTTGCATTAATATTACCTATTTCTTCCACTAATCCCCCCCCCCGGAACGGCATCGATATAGCATACAAATATTAATAAATAAGTATATTACAACAATGTATTATTGATAAGTTTGGGCCATCACTCCGACGATGACGAGAAATATGAGAAATGAACCTAATGATGCCTCATCATTTTCAATATCCATTTTGGTGGTGCCTTTCCATGTGCGCGTTTGCAATAGAAGCGACGAATATCATTTCTTCGATCGAAAAGTATATCATCATTTTCATTAGACCAATCAGCACAATAGCACCTTCAACTAAGTTTTTTTTTTCGTCTTTGTTCTATCCACACGATTTGTTTTCAGGCCGAACTGTCATTACTCAATTCATGCACATTACCAAACCGACACCGAATATTCGATCGGTGATTGTGTGCATGAATGGCATGAGAGACAAACGAAAAAAAAAACGTATATGACATGCATAGACTTTGCATTTGAGCGTAGTTTGCCATTGCTTTCAGCCATTATGGATCACATTTGGATCCTTTCACGAAATGACCGCCCCATATTTCCGAACGCCCGATTCGATATTCTATTTCGCGTGCCACGGTTTGACTATTATACTCACATTTCACTTCGTTTCAATTAGAGAGCTCATAACCTTGACAGACGGCATACAAAATAAAAACAATGAAATTCACGGAGTCTGAGCAATGTATACCAACACACAAATTTTTTCATATCTACGCTTTCGCAAGCACGGAAAACGCATCGTGATTGTTTATTTATTTACACCCGCGAAGTGCTTTTGAATATGTTCGCTTCGAAACGGCGGCTTGTTTTTAAATGTTTTCACATTGAATTTTGAGTTTTGACCTTTTTCTGGATTTTTGTCATATGTCGAGCGGATTTTATTCGAAAACTCACGTACATCGAACGAAAATTTTGTTGATTTTTCAATGGAAATTTGCTGTTTTAATGGAAATTTTCACAATTTCCTGGACAATTCAAATTTAAATTTGAGAAAATTATTTTTTGAACTGCGAAATTTGGATTGAAGTAATAAAATGGCCAATGATATTTATCAAAATCCCAATAGAATCTCCAAAAATTCCAATCTTTGACAAATTGATTTGAATTCCATTCAGAATTTCAATTTTGGATGCAAAATGTTTGCAGAGGAAATGTACGCAATGTCGGATTTTCTTTTGTCGAGAAATCACCATCACAACCGCTTTGCCTATAATAATTGCTTGAAAAAGTGTTTGTTTTTTTTGTCTTCGATCAGAGAAGATCGAATCTTGGTTGTCATTTGTTCGATAAAAGATTTGTTTCTGTGTTTTATTGTTTGTGTTTAAATTTTAATATTGCACACATTACACACATTAATGTGGAATAAATTTAGATTAGAATAGCAACAAAAACCAAACAAAAAAAGAAAAACAACAACACAAAGAATCCCAAAACAACACGTTATTGGAAAGAGTTTTTTTTTTGTCCGATTTGTTTGGAAAAAACAACACAATGTCAAAGTCACAAACACAACACAAATTCCATGTTTCACGCCACAGCAACAAACGAATAGTTATAACACTATACCAATGGCATCAAAAACACCACACGAAATCTTCTTCTGCCTCGTTTCAATTCATTGAAAAACACCCTCACTTGATTAATTGTTCGTTTTTTTGTTTTTGGTGGTGGAAATTGAAACAAGAAAACACATAAAAACATTGTTGCAACTTAAAAAATCCATGTGAAATTCCACACACACTCAACGGCTCTTTAAATTGGTTGGTTGATTGGTTGGACAACAAAAAAAAGCAAAAATGACACAGACAAAATTGCACTCAAAATCAAACGAACAAAGAAAATTCATTGCTTGAACTTTTCTTTGAATTAATTCGGTTCGGTATGTTCAATTTACATTTGTTTGTTCAAGATTGTGCCAATCGCTGCGCTTTAGCAATTTGATTCGAACTTTGAATTTGGGAGAAATGACATGAACTGAAACGAAATTAACACGGAAATAAAATTAATTAAAAGTGTTTGAAAATTGTTTGGTCGGTCGATGTGCAGCACACACTCCTTCCACGAAAAAAAAATGATGCTGTACGAACACAAAAATACACGCAAACACGCACGCTCACACACACACACACGTTGTGACTGCTGGGGGGAGGTCAGAAAAACATTTTTGAATTATGAAATTGTGTTTGCACAACTGATAAAATTTTGAAATGCTTTTTCCCGATCAGCAAATCAAAATATCTTCAGTGAACGATTTGACGCATTGAATTAGTTTCTAACTAAATGCACAACATCAAATTCGCTTTGGACAGATAATAGACTGGTGTTAAAACAGAAAATCAAAAGAAAAAAATATACAAAAACAATGAAAAAAATAAATCAAAAATAAAAATGAAAGAAGAAAACTTAAAAAAAAACTGTCGATGGGTCAATGATTGAACTGTGAATGACATGGTTTGGCTCACAGTCTAGTTGAATCGAAATCCTTACCATTCATATCCAATCATTGGCGCGATAATCTGCTTTGATTTCCGATTTCAAACTCAACCACAAACAATTGCTGCAACCGATTAGTTCGACAAAATTTCAAATTGCGTCAATCAAATAACTGTGCTTTGACAACAACACCGGTTCTTATCACAAATCAAACAGAATTCAACTAATAACAAAATAATAAAATAACGAAAAATAAATAAAAAAGAAAACATAAAACAAAATGAAAAAAAAAGAGAAAATAAAACCAAAGCAAAAATCAAACAGAATTACGTGTCAAGAGTTGTTCGTACATAAAATTCGCATGGTGTGTCATGTGCTTGGATTCGATATCGAAAGCGATCCGAGAGATTACTCTTTTTTTCATTTGCGTTTGCCATTTTTTGTTGTTGCTGCGTTTGCATTCATTGCAAATGGCAATTTGCTACTGTCGCACTGATCATCGAGAAAACACGCAAGTTCGAAGGATCTTTTTTACTTCGACTGCAAACCTGCATTGTTTTTTCTGCATTCTTTGTTCAAAGAGCTTGCTTACAGGCTCTCCGCCCATTTTGTACAATCAAAAATCTCTCTCTCTCTCTCTGTGGGTGTTATTTTTGTTTCGAATCAATTTTGATTTTTTTTCTACACGGTTTGTCTGAAATTACAACAAACAAAACATGGGGTCAATTCAAATTTGTCGCACAATTTCATTCCAAAGACTTTAGAATTTCCAATCGATTACTATTCTAACCAAACAACTCTAGCTCTTTCCGAATGGAGGAGGATCATGGATCAAAGGAGAGATAAATGATTTGGACGGACGTATGAAAGATTGTATTTATCCAAAAATGAGATTTGTCTATGATTTTCAATACCTTTTGCTAATTTTTTCGATTATGTTAAAAAAAAATCGAAATTTCGAATCAATAAAATAGTCAAAGTTTCGAAGAAACGTCTTTTTCGAAAAAAGAAAATAAAAATAAAAAGATAAAGGTAAGAAAAGGAAAAAAATTCATTGAATTAGCACTTTTGTTTGATTGGAAAATAGGAAAATGTATACATTCATTAAAAAACACTTTAACGATTCCTTGAGAAAACACATATTCACCGTCGATCAATTTTGAATAGAATCTGAACTTTTGTCGACATCATTTCGTTCATTTTCTTAATTAAACTGAACCTAATTGCCTAAAGACACATGGGTATTAAAAGGAGACACAAATAATTATTAGAGTAAAAGCAGCTATCGGCGTTGATGATAGACGAATATTTTTAGTCGAAATGAGGTGTCATCAGGTGATTTATTGAGATGAATATTCAAATCTTGGCATATTTGCCTCTGTTGTTGTACTTCAATTCCTCGAACAGTCAATAATTAATAATAATGAATTTTTGATCAATAATTCCTTGTTTTTATTCTTTCAACCGATAATTAGTTTTCTCGTAATTTGATCAACAAAAATCCTGATTTTTTTCAGTGTTGTCAATAAGCGGCATGTATCAAATCGATTACAAATATGAATACATGAAAAAAAAACTCGAAGTTCACCTACGAAAACTACCAAAAATATTCGTTCATCGCGTGTAATTTGAACTTGTGTAGGGTAATTTTTCATCGGATTTTCGACTGAAACTGCACTGCGAAACTCAAGCGTTCATCTCTTTCATTCGGACTCTACACGTTTCTCGTTGCATATTGTTGGTATTTCTGTAGTTTTATGGCATATGTCCAATACCCAATTAATTTCGAGAACTGTTTCTCTCTTTTTTTTCCGTCTCCGAAAATGTTCAGCCGCGTTCGAAAAGACGGAACACAGAGAGAATGAAGATCTGAATCAGAAGAATATCGGTGTGTTTGCACTTTCGTGCGTATTTTTTTTCTGATAAAATATATACGTGCGCCGGTCACATTGACTTGAATCACTTAAGACGTGGGAGGTTCTTCTGTTCAGTATCTCTCTTCTGTTGGTGTATTTTATTTTTCATTTGTTCGTTCGTTCGTTGTTATTTCAAAACGACGAAATGTCGCTTCATAAACGCGTTCGTGTCAATTATCCAGAATATTAATAAACGTATATAAAAATGTCATAACGCTGGTGTATATTACTAAAACTAGGTGAAATTCATTTTCGAAAAGAGGAAGAAAAAACACGAAACAATTGCATGTCACTTACCCGAATTGATTTTGAAGAACGGGATAGGCACCCGCACCGATGCCAGCAGCCGATGCAGCAGCAAATGGAAAACCTAAACAGCAGGGAAAAAAACACACACAAAGAAAAAAACGCATTAGTTTCTTAGTCACTTCTAATGTTTGAAATTATTTTCCATTTGAGAAATTAATAAATTTGTCAATTTAGATCGAAAGGATCGATGGTTTGTGTTGTTTGAGAATCATCACAAATTCATCATGCATGATGATTCATGATATAATAGGCAATTTCAAGCAATTATGGCCAAAGTTTGTTGATGTTGCGTTCGACATGGTCTCAAATCAATTTGGTATATAAAGAAAATGCACACGCACAATTATCATCGGTATCAATTCAATGAAGAGAAACAATATGGGGTAGGAAAAATGAAGGCAAAAGGGGCATCATCATTCAGTAGCCTGGCTAATCGATGGGAAAATGGACGGCAATCAAATGGGCTAATGTGCGATGGCTAATTATTAAAATGAAACTGAACGAAAATAACTATGAAAATTGTCGTTACAACGAAGGTCGATATCAGTTGCTCGCGCGCGTCGAGAGATAATGATCTCGATTTTTAATGTGGCGATGTGCGATATGTTCTCGAATTGCGGTCAATTGAATTGTGAAAATTTTGCATTTATTTCGTGTGATCCGTGTGCCGGGGCCGCTCTTGGTTCACTTTCATTTGAAAATGACAGCTTTTGATGATCTAATTACGTCAATGTGTGCGCAATGATTTCAATCCTTCATCGATTCCGTTCGACATGCGTTACGCATGTGGTGCTGCCGCTGACGTCGCCTACGACCAAATTGTTTTCAGCATGTGCTGTGTTGCTACTGCTTTTTTTATTAGTCTGCGGTTAATGTTTGTTTTCATTTCGCATCGAATATGATTTTTTTTATTTTAATTTAATTGTTATACGGTATCTGCGAGTGACATCAATTTTCAATATAACACGCCACAGTCATCAAAAGCAATTGCAAACACACACACACACCAACACATACAACGACAGCTCCGATATATATATATATATATATATATATATATATATACATGTTTTTCCTTTCTTCATAAAAAATCAATTATTATATTGTTTCATTTAGATTCACCTGATACACATAATGATTTTATTTTTTTATATCCCACGTTTTGCTCATTTTCTGTTCGGTATGCGGAGTGTGGTTTGCGCGATGAACGAACGAGATGGACGATAGTTGGACACCGAAATAAATGTAGATAGAGGTAAAAAGTGACTTCAATCGCGCATATATAATGGGACAATGCTACACACAATGTGTGTGTGTGTGTGTGTATAAATGAGTACGGTACGGTGTAATAAATGCGCTCACAAGATATGTCAGCGTAAATTTCCGACCGGAAACTAGTGCGGAAACGAAATAAATGGCTATAGTTGGTGCGTTTTACGCAAACATGAGCTCAAAAACCCGAAATAATGGGGCAAAAATATAATGAATACGAAAAAAGAACACACACATCAAACAAACACGAGAACCAGAATCAATGCAAAAGCAAAGATTGGCTACAGTACAATTCATTGTGTGTTACGATCCATGGCCGGAGGCGCTATTTTTTATGAGTGAATGAGTAGCCAACTGCAGTGATCCATAGAAAATGCAGTTTTAACATCTCGCTCAATCATGAAGTTTTGGTAATTACCATTTAACAAAGCATTTTCTATCCATGAACAATTTGCTATTTGAATCGCGATTTTTTTTTCCAACTTGACGACTTTTCAGCTTGCATTTTTCAACTTTGCACGTCATTGGCCACAACAAATCGAATCGCAGAAACCGAAATGACGAGCCAGTTTTTTTTCAGTCCGTCTCTCGACCGAATAAGTTCAAGTGACACATGATAATGACGCGCACGAGGATTCATGCGGCGAATGCTCGAATAATTGGAATTTTGGTTTGAATATTGTTGTTGGTTTTTTTTTCCATTTGTATCTTGTGTGTCACACGGACTCGGGTGCGCTCATTTGGTTGACAGTTTTTTTTCTCGTTTGTGTTATAATTCTGTCAATTCTTCGGTAAAGGAATCAAAATGAGTGAACTTGTCATCGGATTGCACACACGACCATTCAAACATTGCGTAGGGTTTTTCGCTTTGGCGTTGTAATTTAAACGATCTATTTTTAAATAGCATTCGAATTATGAGGCGACAGCAGCGGCAACAGTAGCAGCATCGTCGTCGTTAGTCTCTTTCTCTATCCATGTGTGTGCGCGCAAATGATTGTGCGCGCATACACACGCTTTGCATGGGCCATTATTTAGTTTGGCGTAACCCAAAATAAAAAAAGGAAGAAAAAAAAACCGAGAACTAAATAAAATTGAAATAAAAAGAAGCCAGAATGTGATCGTTTTTCATTTTGAGTGTTGCTCTTTCGAAGATTGTCACTTAAACAGGATATAGCAAGGGCCATTGTTAGAATGAACGTTGAAATTGACATGCTTTCGTTTGACAACGACTTCTCATGCCACCTCACTTGCTCGCATTTCGAATTTTCACATCGAAAATGTTCTATCCGTGCTTGCACACACACACACACACACTTTTTCTCTCTTGCTCATATAATGTTCTGATTCATTTGCTCATTTGATTTCGTGTTCGTTGTTATTGGTGTCGCGCAAACAAGAGCGTACATGTATGTGTCTCTGTCTCTGTCTTTTCGTACACTTTCTCTCTGTCTTCTGTCGGCTGCGATGAAGTTGTTATTTTTGTCAACTCAATAGCCAAGTGTAAACGTGTGTGTGTGTGTGTATTCCCAAATGGGATTTCAGAAAACAGCCAACGAAGACGACCGACCAAAAAAAAAATATGATCACTTGCGTTAATAAATCAAATGAAGGATGAAAATGTCTTGCAAACGCAACAACAAACCATTTTCTCGCGCTCTCGAAAATTCAATTTTGAAATGATCATGTGCCCCACAACGTCTACACGGTTCTCTTTTTTTTTCACATTGATAGTAAAACCGTCGAAAAACTTTTTAAGTGATTAGAATACGGCAAATGATTTGACATTCGGCTTGAGTCATTGATGCAAATCGTTTCTCTTCACCGACAGAGGTGACAGACAAAGAAGCCTCTATGCCGATTGAGTGAAAGGACGGCGTGGAATAACGTGTGTAGTGTTTTCTTTCTTTTTCACGCTAAAAATAGGCTCGAAACAGCCATTTCATTTCCACACAGAGATTGGTTCGTATTTTTAGCGTATTTCATTTTGAATGTGGTGACAGGGATTAAGTAGACTTTTTTTCTCTGTTTGCTTGCCGCGCATTCTATCATACACTGATTGTATGCAAATGGTTAATCTCTTTAAAGCTGCCGTGATACGCAGAAAGCAGTTGGCTTGCGTTTTGATTTTTGTTGTTGTTTTCCACTGTCTTTTGTTTCAAGTATTTTTGAAATCATATCAATGTTTCATCATCTAAATGCGCCCCCTTAACAACCACAGAGAGAAAGAGAGCGAAAAAAAACCGAAACACAAGCCAAAAACAACACAAATTATGATTTCATAAGTGTCGACAAGTATTTTTGGGCCACCTTTGGATTTGAAACGAACAAAAAAAAAACCGACTGAATATACAAGATATAATCACTTACCGGGTGTGATATTGCCACGTGGTTTTGCTCCTAATATTGCAAGATTTACGTTAGCTTTCCGTCCATCAATGATTGGATTTGGATCTTTGCAGGCGCGTTCAGCACTCGCTCGATTGCCCATTATCACCTGATTTGATCGGGGAAGAAACGGTTCAAAATGGAATGGTGTTAGTTGGTTGTGTCTCTTTCAATCGTTCATTTAAGGAGGTTGCTGAAGAGACACTTACAAATCCATATCCTCTGCTTTTGTTTGTTTGTCGGTCGGTGATCACAACGGCTTCTTCGATATCACCATAAATTGAAAAATGTTCCCTAAGACTTTTATCGGTGGTGTGATATGGTAGACCGCCAACGAATAATTTCGTCCAGGTTGTGTCTTTTTGTTGACTGGTCATGCTGGGTGTGGTTGGTGATACAATGCCTCCACCCGGTGTCACTGACGCTAGGGCTGTGCTAGCTATTGTGGCGTTTGATCCAAATGCAATTTTTTCTTGTTTCAATCAAAAAACTTCAACATCAAACAACACAAAACACAAACTCTTACCTGGGATTACACTATCGAAGGATGCACGAACAATAACGTTCGCAGCTAATGCGGCATCTGTATCTGTTGCTCCTGGCATCAACATCTTGTTAACTGCTTGATTTCTTTTTTTTTTGTTCTAAAAAAATTCGTTTCTTCTTCCTGTTTCTTTTTTTCGACGGTTTCCTTCACTCCGATTCTAACACTTTCTTATGCAGACTATTGATTTTAACACAATTCAATTTTATATCATTTCGACGTTTTAAAAAAAATGAAACTCAGTCAATTTGAACTGATTTTGTTTAGGTCGCTTTTATATGGATGGAAACAATTAAATATCACAATTTTATTTTCTTCTTTGTTTCGTTGAGTTCAACAAATAATTATCCTTTCGATGACGTAATATGTATTCCACTTTACCCAGCGCCTGAGAATTTGAAGAAGAAATAGAATTTGTTAGAAAAATTACGAATGAATTGAAGATCAAATTAAAATGAAAAAGTGAAACTAAATACAATTTTGGAAGAAAAACCATTTGTTAATGGCATTGATATGGTAAAAATACGAACAACCACTATAAAATTGATCAAGAAACCTTCTACAACGATTGGTGAAGAATCGATTCAAATGACTTGATTCGTCTAACACGAGAAGAAGCGAAAAAAGATTTAAAAACTTGAAAAACGGGATAAAAGACAAATTTTCATGAAAGAATCACGAAAGAATCGTTCCCAAAACCAGATGAAATCAACCAGAATTGCAAAAATATTGATTTTTGTCAACGATCAACAATTGAATATGGTCCAAAGTTTCCATAGGGTCCTATTTTGTTTTCAGTCCATTAAATTTAGTTCCATTAGTTCATTGTCGAAATAGGAAAAGGGACAAAAAAATTCAACAAATGATCCCAACTCAGAGGAAACACATCGAAACCAATACATATCCAAATCGAATCATTCTATCTTAATTTCATCCATTCCTTCTTTTTTGTGCTATCCTGAAGTTTTAACCCCCCCCCCCCCCAAAAAAAAAAATGACACAATATTATCTCATCCCAGCCGTGGAGCTCATAAATTGTCATCTTCACATCATAAATCAATAAACCAATTAGACGTTATAATTGGTAACAATGTAGATTTCCTTTATAGTAATCCGTTGCATCGGTTTTCCTTCGAAAGTCGTTTCTTTTTAAATGATCTGTAGACTAAAAAAACCAAAAAAAAAATTTTGTTGTTATTTTTTTGTTGCGTGCTGTTCAATAAGCGTAGAAATTGTTCACAGGGGAAACATAGTTCACAGCTGTACGATCCTGTTCACATGCATTCTTTATTATTATTTTTTTTTCAGCAACATTTGGTGTCTTTGAGTAACAAAACGTGTTTGTATGTGTGTGTATGAGTGTGTGCGCGTAGATGTGTTGCGTTCATTATGTTTTTGCCTGTTTATTCGAAATGCACACACTGAAAGCGGCATCGATGTAAGCTGAAAAGGTTAATGACTTTTTATTCGGTCCGCACGGCTGCTCTCATACAAAGTATAGTTGAAAGCACACTCACACACACACACAGACGCGCGCGCGCTCATCGAGTGAGAATGAGATTTGGTTGGGCAAGGATCAGTGTGTGTTTGTATTTGAGCGCACGAATTAAGGCTGCATTTTCAATGAAATGCAAACACACGCAAAGAGAACAACAGCCTCCGCGACTGCACACGACTCTCCTCGCTGCTGTTGTTGTTGTTGTTTCTTTTTCTTTTTTTCAACCCCCTGTACCGTTTTTATACGTTTCCTCGTTCTTGTTAGTTGCACTCTCGGCTCTTTGTGTGTGTGTTTTTTTTTATTCGGTGACTCTCAATGCATAATATTAATAAGATTCGATGAACGCTTGGTAACGCATTTTCATCTCTTACTCTGTCTCCCTCTCTCGCTCTTCGTGAGTCTCATTCCATCCGATGGAAAATGAGTTAAGAAGATCATTTAATATATAGAGATTGTTGTGTGTATTGCGCGGCATTTTGGCTGTACTCTAATGTTTTTGTATTGAATTTGTTTAGTGCTATGACCGCAGCTGCTGCTGCTGCTGCTGCTGCTACTGCCACACACTCTTTTTGTGTAATACACACAATTGTCTATGGCTTTGAGTCGTGCGTGCGAGGCACATTTGTGTTTATCTGTTGAGTTCCCATTTGCACGCACAACAAGGGATACTCGAATGAACAGCACACACAGCTCATACACACACAAGTACATACACCCGAATTGACATTCGTAGGGGTTTATTGAAACTAATATTTTTTTTTATTTTCGTTCAATTTCGGACGCAAAGCAAGCATACATCCGACTGTAATTTTGTTTATTGTGTTTCTCGAAAAATTGGGGTGACTGTGAAAATTGATCATGCAATATGAAACACTGTGTGTGTGTATATGTGCGCGTATATATGTGTGTGCTGAGCTACAATGGCACGATTTCAAGCACCGAATCACTATGAAAACGACGGCGCACTTTTTGGTGCCAACACAATGCAACTAGAAAAATGCGTGCATTGCCATGTTGTGTATTTTACAGTAAATCGCATATTGCCTTGACAATATATCCAAATGGGAGCGATTGAGACGCTTCTTTTGTTAATGCACATACACACTACTCGTTGCTTTTTTTAGCCCGCTGCTGCCATTTCAATATGACAATAACACGGAAAAGAATGAATTTCTTTAAACAGAAAAAAAAACGGTTACACAGTTTACTGGAGAAGAGATATCCTTTCGACCGCTATCATATTCAAAATATTTCCTGTCACACTGACATGGTGAATGAAACTGCACCATGTCAAAAAAATATCGATTCCATCGAGCTCATATGCATTTCATTCTGTGTCGTTCGATTCCATCAATCTTCTGAAAAAAGTATCAGATTTGTTTTGTCATTTCACTACCTCGTCTACTGCTTCTTGTCGTTGGGTTCTCTTCTATTCGATTTGTGTCATTTTAGAATTGTTGGTCATTTTATATGTTGCTTTGATCGTCTCACTGAACGTGCCGTTTCATTGAGTTGAATTGAAATTGTCATGATCCATTTTGGTGCAAAGGGAATAATGCCTTTTTTCGATTTTAAAGGGGAAAAGTTCTTTTTAAAGGGAAGCATAAAGAAATCCCAAAGGATCTCAAAGCAACTCCATTTGACTTGTTCGTTGTGGGCAGACGTCGACGAAATACAGTATTTCAGTATCAAGCTTTGTTACTGAACGAAAAAAAGAATATAAGTTTGGGACTTAAAACGAATTTCGACATTCGTAGGGCTAGGTTTTGACGTGGAATTTTATATTCATATTTTAACATTGTTTCTCGTTTTTGGTGTCACATTGCCGAAAAAAAACCAAATCGAATCGTTTTTGTTGTTGGTCTCTGTTTTGAACCGTTATTACGTTCTGATCAGTCGAATGCCATCATGCATGCAGTCAGCAGTTTGTCGATATTATTATTTAATGTCATATTGTACACAGACTATTGAACCTTTTTCCTCTCTCTCTCTTTCTCTCTCTCTTTCTGTGTCTGTTTTGGCTATTCTCTGTTTTATTTTTCGTTTTTTTATTTTATTATTATTTTTTTCTTCTGTTAAACAAAAGCGAAACAATCAAAGGTGAATCGGGTGTATGTGTGTTTTATATGCGTTTTTTTGTTTGTTATTGTTGCTGCTGCTGCTACCGCTGTCTGTTGTCTCTACTTTTTGGATACTTTGTTGGTGCTCTGTTCTTTCGTGCGCGTAGATCGTTCGTTTGTAAAAAGTTCGATAAATTGTAAAATCATATGAACAGAGCGAACGACTCTCCGCTCGAATGGCTCGTGGCTTTGTTTTCCACAAACAGTCTATATACTTTGTGTGTTGTAACACACACTCAGTTGTTTGATTATTATTCAGTCGAGAGGCGAATTTGATGATGAGCAAGCATAGCACACAGAGCGAGAGACGGCTCTGAAAAATGGGGGATGGGCGAATATTCTCGATATTATGCGTATAGGAGTATGGGCTCGCACTACACCAAAGAGAGCGAGTATGCATGTGTCCATGCGTGTTCGTGTGTTGGTTTTTTTGCCATTGTCGAAACTAAATACGCATATATGCATCATCGAAGCATCTCTTCGTCCCAGAATGAGAGACACATACTTTAGAATCCATTACATATTTTGTTGATTTTTTTTTCGTTCGTTCGTTTGTTTTCCCATTTTGCGTGTGTGTGATCTATTCGAAACCGGATTTGAGCGTAATGCGCATTTATATTACATATGCCATTTTTCGAATTTTAGATTTGTTCAGTTGAACATTTGCCATCGATAATCGCTTTTGTTGACTTGATTTGCATGTATGCGCCTGTGTTTTTTGTTACTGAATTTAGAATGTGTATGTGTGCCGATTTGTTCCACGAAACAAATATATCAAAATGGGATTTACATCACAATTGCCGTTGTCAAGTAATTATCCACAAGAGAGCTCATTAGCTCAGTTCAATGGTCTGATTGAGAGCATTTTTATTGATTTAGCATTGATCGTAAATCATTTATTGCGACCGTTTTTGGAGAATTTTGACAAATTTGAAATTTGGAATTGGCGTTTCGGTGTTTTTTTTTCACTAATTTTTGATATATTTTTCTATTCCTTCCGGCATTTAAAAGTTCATTCCATTGTTGGATTCATTTTTCTAACATTTTCTCTTTCATTCAGCATTTGTTTCGGCTGAATGAATATCAATCATTTTCTTCACTTTTCACACCGTTTATCTCAGCGTTTTCGATGCAAATGGCCGTACCATGCCCAGTTGGACTTTTATTTTAACTATTTTTTTTTGGTTTTGATTCTATCTATCTTCGATCTTTTCTCTCAATATTGTCAAATTTTCTTCTATTTTTGTTTTTGTTTTTTTCGATTTTCACATTTTCATTTCCAATTTCAGTGGCATTTCCCTCGATATTTGGCCTTATCTTGCGACTTTGTTTATTTTTCAGTTTTCAACCCTTTCGTCTCCACAATAATCAATCAATTCTGAATAGTTCCTGATTTGTTTGCTCCAAGTTTCAAGTATTGGTGTGGTTTCTTTGAATTACAACAGCCAGAAATCGTCAAGTTTAATGTAAAAAACCCATTAATTTTTCTTAATAGTGTCAAATAATCTAAGGATCATATTACCGAGTTATCTTGATCAATAGATGTTTCTCGTCAACCGAAAAATTAATGGATCCTCGATGTTTTCTTCATCAGTTGGCTTGACATGTCGAGTGTGTCCAAGTGTAGAACGCAGGCAACAACAGTAATCGATGTTATTTGTGTTATGTGTTCTCATTGCGGTAATTAAGTTTTTCGTTCTTTTCTCTTATTTCAAACAGTAAAAATAAACGTCAAAGTGCGCTCGCGTCGGCACCGACCACGAGAAAATC